CTCAGGACCAAAACGAGACGCCGCAGCAAACACCTGACCCGACGCAGCTACCTGACCAGGCACAGCAACCGGAGGAGACTCGGTAGTGAGGGTGTACAGGCTCGACCCCGGCCGACGGGTAAACGTGGCCAAGTGTCGGCCCGTGTCCGCACACGTACAGTGGGTCACCCGCTGACGCGCAGGGGTGAACTGGTCAACCCCCCCATCCTGTAGGTCAGCACCCGCCACCAAGTTCGTAGAGAACGAGGGGAGGTAAAGACCCGACAGGGAGCCAGACGGGACCGCCGGACACGGTAGTACAGTGGAGTAGTGAGCAAGGACAGGACCCCCAGAGGGGTCTGCCAGGGAGACCGCAACCGGCCGACTGAGCGGCGTGAGAGTGGTGCGGTCTCGAAAGAAGGAGCGGGAAGCACCCGAGTCAAGGGTGAAAGTGTGCGACGCCGGAGCAGACGTGGTACCTGAGAGAGCAGACTCACCAGCACCTGGAGTAGCAGACTCACCAGCACCTGGAGCAGCAGACTCACTAGCACCTGGAGCAACAGACTCACTAGCACCTAGAGCAGCAGCTGCACCGCCCGGGTCGGGCGGAGCACTCAGGGAACAGTCACCGACATCACTAGTAGTCAATGCATACATGGCAGTGAGGATAGCATCGAAGTCAAGAGCATAGATATCTACCCTCCGCCGGCGCAGCTCCACCCAGTCAGGGAGCTCAGCCGCGTCGCCAAACTCCGTACGCCAGGCGTCGCTCAGACTGGCGAAGCAGCGGGACTCTGTGTGACCAAACGTCCCGCAAGGCTGGCCAGTCCGAGCACCAGTGCGAATGACATACGGGCAGCGAGCAGAACCCCGTGACCCCCCCCGCTGAAAGTACCACTCATGAAGCTGCGGGGGCGAGGGGACCGCACGTACACGATGCTGCAGCTGCACCTGGCCACTACAAGAAGCCCCGAAACTACTCACGCCAGAACGACTCCCACGACGGCCACCCCGACAACCCCAACTAGCGTACCACTCATGAAGCTGTGGGGGCGGGAGAGGCTCACGTGGACGGCGCTGGATCTGTATCTGGCCACGCCAGGAGCAGCAGTAGCAGTAGGAAGGGTAGGAGCAGCACGAGCAGTAGTAGCAGCAGTAGCAGCAGGAGCAGCAGTAGCAGTAGAAAGCGCAGTAGCCGTAGGAGCAGCACGAGCAGCAGTAGCAGGAGAAAGAGCAGTAGCAGCAGGACAGTGCTCACCAGTGGCAAGAAGGGCCGGCGTGCAACGGCGAGGCCGGCACCACTGTAGGGCGAGGGCTCCGCGGCAGCTGCAGGTGGCGGCTGCTCCAGGGGCGGCTGCTCCAGGGGCCAGGGGCGGCTGCTGCAGGGGCGGTTGCTCCAGGGGCGGCTGCTGCAGGGGCGGTTGCTCCAGGGGCGGCTGCTGCAGGGGCCAGGGGCGGCTGCTGCAGGGGCCAGGGGCGGCTGCAGCAGGGGCCAGGGGCGGCTGCCGCAAGGGCGGCTGCCCGAAGGGCCAGGGGCAGGGGCGGCTGCTGCAGGGGCAGCTGCTCTAGTGGCAAGGGGCAGCAGGTGTAGGGGCGGCTGCTCCAGGGACCAGGGGCGGCTGCTGCAGAGGCGGCTGCTCCAGGGGCCAAGGGCTGCAGGGGCGGCTGCTCCAGGGGCTAGGGGCGGCTGCGGCAGGGGCGGCTGCTGCAGTGGCCTGGGACAGCTGCTGCAGGTGCAGCTGCTGCAGGGGCGGCTGGTCCAGCGGCAGCTGTTGCAGGGCTGCGAAAGAGCGGCGTGGGGGGCCGCCAGGGGCCGCGACAGACCAGGTAAGGGGCCGCGACGGGCGGGTAAGGAGCCGCGGGCGGCTAAGGGGCCGCGACGGGCGGCTAAGGGGCCGCGACGGGCGGCTAAGGGGCCGCGACGGGCGGCTAAGGGGCCGCGACTGGCGGGTAAGGAGCCGCGGGCGGCTAAGGGGCCGCGACGGGCTAGGGAAGGGCCGCGACGGGCGGCTAAGGGGAGGAAGTTGGGCGGGCCGAGGAAAAACGAGCCGCACGGGCGGCTGACGTGGCGCGCGGGGCCGAAAACGGGCCTAAACGAAGAGCGCGCGGGCTGCTCAAGCGGCGCGCGCGGGAGAAAAAAAGGGCCGCGCACGTGCAGCCGAGGCGCGCGCGGGCAGGAGGCAAGGCAGGTGAGGTAACGTGGTAACGGTGGGCCCTTATCTTAGGTCCTAGAGACCTCTAGGCTCTAGATACCATCTTAGAATCTTAGGCATGAAGTTGTGTGGAATTAGGGTTTGGAGGGGGATACAAAACAAGTGTCGAGAAAATATGTGTACCCCCTAAGGCTAGACCCAGTACTATAGCCTACATAAATGTTACACATATAATTTGACAAGCGGCACCTCGGAGGTGAGGGATGAGATGGTCATTGCTTCTATCTGCATTTATGGAGATGTTGCAGGTTTTGAATTACTTCTCAATCACTTTCTCTGGAACTGTAACAGTCTACATCAGCAATACCTCAGCAAGATGCTTGCGCAGGTTTCTTGGTGGGCAAGAAAATATAATCCCACATGCGAGTACCTTCCAAAGCTGTGCCGAGCACAGTGTTGTGAATCGCTACAATAACAATACATGTGTTTTTTATGCTTATGGGCTAGTGGCACGATAAAAAGGTTAATCGTAACTAGGATCACTTTGGGAAGGAGTCAGTCGTTCACTGGAGATCCCCGATTGATCATAGGGAAGGGTTACAGGCATGTCGTCTGGGGGGTTATGGGCGCACTCACCCGCTACACAAACAAGCCCTTTTATCCTAGTGGTTAATGGCTGGAATTATGACAGAAGGTTTGCACAAGCATGTGGTAGTTGGTGGGCTCTTGACCTCAAATCGGAGTGAATGTAAATACATGATTGAGATTATTAATATTATTCACGCATGCAAAGACAAATATATATATTAGTGGTACAAGGGAGAACCAAACGTCCTAGCCAGCCATATACTCTAAGGGGTACATTCCCTTATTCAAATTCAAACCCAACCGTGCACCGCGTACAGTTACGAAACTGTTCCCGCCAATTCGATCGCCTATGCAGCTGCCTGATGCCGTCCCGGCGGACCAGATGCTTCCCAACTGTTCGCGTTGCTTTGACCTTAAGCATTCGTATTTTTTTCTATGTTCTTGGTTCTTGCTATAGGTAGGGATGCACGGTTCAATTTCTCATTTCACTATTCGTAACAGCTAGCATAGCTACTAAAAGCTGCGGCTTTGCAGTCGCCCTGAGCATTTTATGCATCCTTCTTTTCCGTTGTTGGCGCTCCAAACGCGAACGATCATCTTGCCACGATGATGCAGGGTGCGTTCGTGAAGCATCTCCAGGTGCAGAGACAGCTCGTACAACGGGAGCTTGACTACGGGGAAGGCACGTGCGTGAGAGGGATCTTTGCGTTCATTCACTTAGTTGTTTCCAAGTGCTCACACTGCTTGCTAGTTCACGGGGGAAATCGACAAAAGTTTCACTAACAAAACATGACAACAAGTGCTCAAAACGATAGCAACAACATTGGCAACACAAACTACATCAGAGCTAGCTAGGCTGCTGGTCGACCTCCAGCGCAGTATGGTCGACCGTGATCCAGCGCAGCAGAGCTCGCATCGCTCCAGCGTTGCACAGTAGTGGCTCGCCAACGTTGCAAGTCCACAGTGTGCCAACGCTGCAGCAAGTCGGCTGCACAGCGTTGCACCCGCAGGACAACGGTGCACCTGCTTCGCAGGTGTGCGCGGCTGGTTGGCGTCCAACACCCCGTCACGTGCCCAGCGCAGTCATTTCGCCCATGACAGCGCCCACCTGCCACGTCGACCTCGGGATACCACCCTCCGAGGTCGTCCTCGCAAAAACCACCCCCGTCGACCTTCGCACACGTCGCCCAGGTATCTCGGTCGTCCAGGCAACCCCGCCTGGTCGTCCAGCCCAGTTGGTCGCTGGCTACACCAGACCCGGCGTCCCAAATCGGCGTCCTGGCATCCAGGTCGGCTTCTGCTCGCCCAAGACGCCGTCCAGGTGCCCAAGTCGGCGTCCAGGCGCCCGGGCAAGCGACCAGGTCGGCGTCCAACCTCCCAGGACGCCGAATAGACGCCCGGCGTCCCGGCGCCCAGGGTGCGGTGCAGACGCCCAGGACGCCGCCCAGACGCCAAGGACGGCGTCCACCTGCTCAGCGCTCTCCAGCCAGGCGCCCCCCAGCTTAACGCCCTTGCAGTGGCCTCCGTGCCCACTGCTGCAGGACGGCTGCATCCCCCCGCACACCCGACCACGAGGTCGGCTCCGCCCAAGCGAGGACGGGGCCAAACACTACTCAGGAACATCAGCGCCTGATCCATCGATGTGTAACAAGAGACATGTTTTAGAACGATGACCAGGTGATGTGCAACTCACGCCACGACGTTTAAAGAAAAGCCTGTGGTGTTGCTGTACGCATCCTTGTGGCAACTGTGCAGATAGCGCTGCTGCCAATGGCGGTTTTACGGATTCGGTACATCATAGGAGTGATTCGGTACATGATGTCCTTGCTTAATCTACCCTTCCTATCATTTCGCTACAACCTCCCTTCTTGCGTCATTCCCCCCTGCCTGCTCTTTTTCCCTATCTCATGCCTCACGCCCTGGTTCAAAATGGTTGAAAGCCGTCCCAGCCCGACCCGTGCCGTTCGGAGGCTTTCCGCACCACATCCTTAAATAATAGTGAACGCAGCTTTTGTTTTTTTAAGGTCGATATACAAGGCAACAGCCGCAATGGTTGTTTCGGTTTGTGCATACAGCGTATGCGTGTTGTGGTGTGTGGTGCGTTGGAAGATGAAAGGTCCATGTTGGTTGGAAATTGACGTCAAGTATCTACTCCGCCACGACAGCAAGCGCACTTTTCCGAAGATCTCAACGCGTGCGAATTGCAGCTGTGAAGTCAAGAGCTGACGTCAACGATGAAGCCTATCCTTTGACCGTGGTGAGATTGAAGCCGAGAAGAGGATGAGGGGCATTCTGGCCACACGATCTGTAGGGCCTTGGTTCACGCCAAAAGTGAAGAGGTGGCTGCACTCTTCCACGGGGATAGCTTCTGGACGTTCGATTGTTATGCGATCCACTAGGTACTCTACTCGCTTATCCACCTCATTCTGATTTCAATTTGAGGCTGGCAGCAGGAGGGCACCGTAAATAGCGGTGGTTCACAAATTTGTAGAAGATTTTTGTCTGCCCGATCCTGGTTTGGTCTCCACCCAAAGTTTCGAAATACAGTGCAACACTTCTGGTTCGTGGGCTGTTAGACTTCAGTTTGATTTTCGCTTATCTTCAGTTATTCCACCCAGCCGAATTTTTCTGTGGAACGTTTGGCAAGTTTGGGTACAGCTGTACGGCAAGTGTGTGTAGACAGTCACTTCGCGTGACGCTGCGTCGTCAGCTCCATGCCTGCTTATTATTACGCCTGCAGCCGCCTTGGCGTGGCGGAAGCTGGTGCTCGTGTCGGGTTGAGGAGAACCGTGCGAGTCCTCGCTGGACGTCGCATTGATGACGGGTTCTGGTCTACGTGGGTTCGTGCTACTGGAAGCTCCTGGATAAATCGGTAACAGTACATAAATGGCTGACGAACCTCAAGGTTTGTTCGTCTGGTTGACGTGGAATCCCCCTCAATACTGTACTCTACAGAAAAACCCCCGTTCCCTCCAGCTGGCGAAAGCTAGGTCTCGGTCCTCTCCGCACCACATCCCCCCTCTCGCTCCCCACGCTCCCCGCAAGGTCAGAGCGGACCGGAGCCGCGGTGTTGGGAAATTGAGGGACGAATCGCTCAGGACGAGGGGCGAATTTTGTTGAGGGCGTTCAAAAGGCGCGTGAACGAAAAATGCAGGATGCACAGCGAGGCACAATACAGCAAGCACAGCCCTCCATTTCCCAAACCAATGTCCTTCGTTATCACCTTAGACTTGACAGGCTACGCCAACCTGCTTCGCTCTTTGCACGACTTTGATGTTCACGTTTCCGAAACCAGCAAATACTTCGTCGTCTTTTGACCAGCTACGCCATTGTGAGATTGCACAACCCCAAAAGCAAACTTTGCTTGAGCGCGTGCCTTTTCGCGCATGCACGTAATCCTCGTAGCAGAATGGCCCGCGCAAGCACGTGTGGCGGCGACAAGGCGGAGCTGAAGAAAGGGTCGTGGACGGCGGAGGAGGACGAGCTGCTCGTGAAGTGCATCGCGGAACACGGCGACGGCAACTGGAGCGCCATTCCCAGGAAAGCCGGTGCGTGCATGTAGCTCGCAGAGAACTCGCACAGAATGTAGAAAGGCGATCACAGAAAACGCGGGCTGGCTGCATGACAATTGTGATCCCGGCCTTACGCTCGCATTGTCCACCATGCAGGGTCTTGAGCGCACTTCATCCCCAAGCTACCTGCTTTATCAATGTTCCTTCGCTTTCCCACCTTCGCCATCGTCGTTACCCCCCGTTCAACTCCGCTTTTTGTTGTTCCGTACCAGCCTGCACTGCTCAACGCCCCCTCTTCTCCCTTCTTCTTATCTCCTCCTTTCCGCGTCGCAGGGTTGCAGCGGTGCGGCAAGAGCTGTCGCCTGCGATGGACCAACTACCTGCGGCCCGACCTGAAGCGAGGCGCGTTCACGCGCGACGAGGAAGATCTCGTCGTGCGGCTGCACCGTCAGATGGGCAACCGTTGGGCGAAGATCGCGCTCGAGATGCCGGGGCGCACGGACAACGACATTAAGAACCACTGGAACACGCGATTAAAGCGGCGACTGAGGGACCTCGGCGTCGACCCCGACTCGCACCTCCCGCTGCCCTCCGCGCCGCCCCTGCTCGCCCCATCCAGCCTCCTCGCCGCCGCTCTGGGGGAGGATCCGCGGAAGGGAGTCTCCGCGGGGCCTGCTCCGCTGGCGGTGGCAGCGGCGCAAAGCGCGGATGACTCTCTGTCAAAACGTCGTCGAGTGGATGAGGCGACGCACGACGCTGGTTTCGCATCACCCACTGGTTCCTCGTCCCAGCTCCTCCCTCCCCTCCACGCCCCCGCCGCTCCCCGTCCCGCTCCCCGGCCTGCACCTCCCGGTGGGCCTCCCTCCCCGTGCAGCCTCCCCCCTTCCGCCGTCACTTCGCCTTTTGCACCAGCGGGAGAAGCGTCCCCCAGGACTCCCTCCGCCGACGACGATAGTCCTTCCGCCTCTTCCGCTTCCCCCTGTGACAGCCTTTCCGCCCACTTCTCGCCCAGCTCTCCACTGCCTTCTGAGCCCATTGCGCCTGCTCCCTTGACGGTGTCCGCGCGCACAGCGCCGGCGGTACTGGCAGAAGCGGAAGAAAAATGGCGCACTCCGCGCCCAGGTCGCACATGGCGGGAGGGGCCTTGCGCTGACGGGGAAGATCAAGCTGGTGCCTGCAGAGGCGCGGGACGGGCGGGGTGCGGGCGGAACGAAGAGAGAGGGGAGATGTGCGCAGGGATGGGGCAAGGGGGCGAGGAGGAGTTCGGTAGCATCGACGCAACCGCCAGAGTCTCCACAAGCGTCACGCACAGTCAGCCCAGCAACATGGCAATGCCCCCCCCTGCGTGCATAGAAGCTGGCCTGACTAGGTCACAGCCAAGCACTCAGGCTGCGTTGACAAGGCTCACTGCGGTGCCTGGCAGTGCAGGGCGAGTGAGAGCAGGGTTCAGAATCCCCCCTCGCCTCGTCATCCCGTGCCTTCCCGGGGACACTGAAGCAGATGCTACTGTCAGTGCTGCACCTGGGATGGACGTTCCTGCAGGTCTGGGTACGAATGGAGAGAGCAACCTGGCAGGCACGACGGCTGATGCGACCATGGCTTCTGAGAAATTGCCCAGCCCTCTCGCGCTCATTAACAGGTTAGTTACACGCATGCTTTCCTGGTCAGTCTCCTTGTTTCATGTTGCTTGTGTTGCTGCAACAGCTGTTCTGGCCTACTCAGCATCTCAGTCTATTTCCTCTCCTGTGAATTTCTGCTCGGCTGGTGCTTGCAGCATGTGGGAAGGTACTGATCCCACCAACCTCTGGTCAGCTGACTCCTCTCTAGACGAATCGCCTCTCGTCCTCCCCAGTCCTAAATTGATCCCGTTCACTCCGTCCAGCCTTCTCACACCCACTAACAAATTGACACTGTCCTCGGGAGCAACAATGACGCCTGCACCAGCTGCGGGGGCTCATACAGCCATTGGAGAACTCACAGCATTTGATACGACACCGCAGCCATTAGGGAACTGCCACATGGCAGCTTTGGGTAGGTGCCGGCTTGACAGGATTGTCTATGAAGATAACAGATCTGCAGGGACTTCCGGTGCCCAAGTTCCGATTGCGATGATATCGCCTTGTGATCCTGGTGAAGACAGTGTGCAGGTAACAGGAGCAGGGACGTCACTATTTGATGCATACGATGTAGGCACGCCACAAGGTGTGCTTCCTTCCCCGCATGGAGCTAGTTTTGCCGGAAGCTTAGTGAGCATATTTCCTTCTTTCCATAGAATAGCTTCAGTTGGAGCCCTTCAGAAGTTACCAAATTAGGTTAGATAGGATTTTGATTGTATCTGACATTGTAGTACGTATGTTTCTAACATGGCTTGCTGTTGCTCCTTCTACTCGCGATTGAGAACCACAAGAAAATGAATCAGAGATTATCTGGTGTTCTTGTCCTCAAGTTCGTTAGAAGAAACCCTAGCCAGCAAGCAAGGTCACCGAACCGAAACACGGATCCAAATATGTGAGCGTTCGATCGACCCTCGGAGATATTTTTTTGAGGCGTGGTCTTCATCGCACCGTCCGTTGGGTGCAGACCCCTCAGCCCTTCCCCATATCCACCACCACCAACCAACCTGCTGCCTCTTGTTCTTCACCCGCTTCAGAAATGAGCGAGAAACAAGGAACCAGCAGCAATAATCAGAAGTGGAAAGCTGGATTCTTGAAGCTAACAACAGCTTTGTATCCTAAATTCTTGAAGTAGCGTGTCCTTCGTCGCGTGTCGCTCGCTCAATGCGGGGCCGTCACGGATGGTCGCGCTTTGCGAGGGCGAAGGGTGGGGCCTTTTGAAGGTCCAGCTTCCTGGCAAGATGCCGTCCGTTGAAACGGAAGACGACGCAGTAGTGGAGGTGTCGTCTGATGATTCCAGCCAGGATCAGAGTTCAAAAGGAGGACGGTTGCCCGTCGGTTTGGAAGTCGAGGTATCTAAGCCGTTTGGATTCCCGTAGTTTCGTTTCTTATTGTCGCACCAGTGACGAATGGGGATTTCAGGAAATTCATTCGTGCATTTGAGTGTATGAAGTCCACCAGGCGTAGCATTAAATAGCGGCCGTGACCATCTAATCTGTTATTACCAGACGTACTATCATTCGCTTCGCGTTGTTTTCGTACTGTCGTTCTTGTATAACTGCTGCGACCAGGGCTAGTACCCTTCTCGTAAATTATTATCTCAAGTTTCGTTTTACCTGTTACTCCGTAGCGCAATACCCAAAATAAGCAATAATTCCCGTCGTTTCCTCCCGCCGATCCCGCGCAGGTGCGGCAGCTGGAGGAGGGTTTGCGCGGGTCATGGCACCCGGCGGTGGTGGTGGGCGTGGAAGACGGCTGGCGCGTCGTGCAGTACCAGGAGCTTATCACAGACGACCTCTCCGAGCCGCTCGTCGAAGCCATTCCTCTCGCGTCGTACTTCACCTCGGAAACTCCGCGCCTCGCTCCACCACCCGATTCTCCGTGGAAATCCCTAATCGAGTCGGCGATGGCGAAATTCGCGAAGCTGGTAACGGCGGACGGGGCGAACGGCGGCGCGGTGAAGCCGGTGCTGCGGCCGCGCCCGCCGCAGGAGCACGTGCCGTCGTACCGGCGGTGGCGCGCGGGCGCGCCGGTGGACATGCTATGCAACGACGCGTGGTGGGAGGGGTACCTCCTCGCGGACGTCGTTCGCGTGGGCAAGCGCACGGAAGTTCCCGTGGAGTTCCCCGACGAAGCGACGTCCGAATCGGTTTCGATCGGTTTGTTGCGGTTCGGGCAGGATTGGGACGAGCGCACGGGCGAGTGGCGGCCGCGGAAGGTGGAGGGGGCTGCAGGGAGGATTGCGGGCGGAAGCGGAAGCGCGGATTGTGAGAACGGCATAGCGAGCCTTAGCTTGAAGCCGCGCGGGGATGGTAGAGGGGTTGAGAACGGTGCGGTTAGCAGCGAGCGAGCGAACGAACAGATAACCTTGATAGTACCTGATTCAGAGGCTAGTATAGCTAGAGGTTCCGACGCAGCGCCTGATGCTGCTGCAGCCGTCACTCCCAAGGTGACCACTGGTGGTCCGGATGCCACTAATAGGGCAGACATGGGGCGGTATAGCGGCGGGAAAAAGATCAGGCGCAGAGACTCAGGTTTAGGGTTAGGGTTAGGGTTGGGTCACGGTGCGGGCGCAGGCACGGGGCTGGGCGTGCTGCATTCACGGGGCGCAGGGCCGCAGCACGTACGGGAGGTGAACGAAGTGTCTGACGTGAGCCAGGCGAGAGAAGGGAGAGGGGTGAGGGAAGTCAGACTGGCGGGGGAGGCGGGAGAGGCAAGGGGGCTGAATCAGCACGAGGCTGGGTCGCCTTTGGATAGGGTTGCGCCGAGGGGAAAGCGCGTGGTGGAGCAGAAGAGGGTGAGCACGGGCGGAGGGGGAGCGGGGGGGGGGAAGCAGGCGGCGGGTGAGGCCAGCGCGGGGAGGCGGAGAGAGGGCGTAGTGGTGATCGGCAAGGGCGCAAAGGCGCAGGGCAGCAGAGGCAGGGCGCGGCAGCTGCGCGTGAGAGAGGCGCCTGGCGCAGCGGACGACGCAGCAGGGGAAGCAACCGCGGGGGGTTTTGCGCTGGAATCCGCGGAGCACGCAGGCAGCGCGGACGTTCCCCCCGCGCGCAGGGCTCCCGCGCACAAGAAGCACTCCATAGCGAAGGTTTACCCGCCGGGGAGGGATCTAGCGCGGCTGATAGACCAAGGGCTGGTGAGGGACGGGGAGGCAGTGGAATATAGGGACATGCGGGAGCGGCGCGCGCTCAAGACGGGGCGGCTATCGCGGCAGGGCGTGACGTGCGACTGTTGTGGGCGCATGTTCAACCTCTCGGGGTTTGAGGCGCACACAGGGGTGACGTATAGGCGCCCCGCGGCGAATATGTTTCTGGAGGACGGGCGCACGCTGGCGGTGTGTAAGATGGAGGCGGAGAGGAGTGCGTATGGGGTCGGCGCAGGCGCAGGCGTGAGCGCTGCTGGGGGTGGGGGAGGGGTTGGGGTGGTTGCGGGGAATGGTGCAGTTAGGGAGGCGGGCGGAAGGGGAACGGCAGGTGGTGGGCGGGAGGAGGGGAAGGGGGAGGGGGCAGCGGCGAGGAAAGTGGTGAGGGTGAAGGGGCTGGGGTCGAAGGTGAAAGGGGCGGGAGGGGAGGGGGGCGGGGAGGGCGCGGAAGGGGAGGGGGGAGCGGGGGAGCGGAGTGACTACAGTGATGTGCTGTGCCGGCTGTGTGGGGATGGCGGTGAGCTGCTGTGCTGCGATGCCTGCCCTGCCACGCTGCACCTGCCCTGCGCTGGCCTGCAGGTCTGTTCCATTCTCGTGCCTTCTGCTTGCCCCTCTCATGCCCTCTGCATAGGCCCCTGTAATGCTGACGTGCATGTCATGATCTTGTGCCTGTCCCCCAACCTCCGCGTCCCCCACCTTCCCATCTCCTTATCCCCCCATGTCAACATCTCCTTCTCTGCATCTTCACCATCCCCCATCTCCGTCTCCGCATCTCTCATCTCCCGCTCTGCCTGTGCCCATGTGTGGCGAGCAGGCGCTGCCAGGGGGCAACTGGTTCTGTCCGGCGTGCCGGTGCTCCATCTGCGGGGGCAGCCACTACGGCACACAGGGCTTTGGCGACGACACGGTCATTTTCTGTGACCAGTGCGAACGCGAATGTGAGTGCAGGGGGCAAGGGGGGAGGGTGGGGGTAAAGGGGTGACATGGGGTGGGGTTGAGAGTCTGGGTTTATGCTCCATCTCCTGTCCTGCGAATCTCTGCATTTAGATGCATAGGTGTTATGATTATTTCGCCATGGCCCTCCTTCTCTATGCCTCCAACGACTCTTCCCTTCCCCCACCCTTAGCCCACTCGGCCACTTTCTCACTCCTCTCCTTCCCCTCCTTCCTTCCTCCCAAAAATGTAGACCATGTGAGTTGTCTCAGAAACATGGGGTGGGCCGACCTCAAGGAGCTTCCCACCGGCCGTTTCTTCTGCCGCCCACAGTGCCGCACCGTGAGTGCCTTTTGCTTTCTTCCGCTGCCCGCACCTCACCCCTCAATATTCACCCGTCACTCCAAACGCCTCACCCCTAACCCCTCGCCCTCTCCCCCCAAACCGACACTTCCCAACCTGAACCCTCAACTTTATTCAACCTTAACCCCTAAACCCTACATCACCTCACCCCTCATCTTCGATCGGCAGGTATTTTTCGGCCTGCAGCGCCTCATAGGCAAGCCCATCTCCCTCCCGGGCGGCTTCTCCTGGACGCTTCTGCACGCAGAGGGTCCGCGCAGTGAGGCAGGGTCAGTGACCAAGGAGGCGCGGCGGCACGACAATCTATTAAGAGAGCGCACGGGCGAGGTGGAGAGGAAGCTGCGGTGCGGCATGGAGGTGATGAGGGAGTGCTTTCATCCCATCAAGGACGCCTTCACTGGCGAGGACCTCGTGCCCATCATCGTGCACAGCAAGAGGTACAATAATGGGCACTCCCCTCTCCCGTGCCTTCCCCTGCGCCTTCCCCTGCGCCCTCCCCTGTGCGCTCCCCTGCGCCTTCCCTCTGCGCCCGCCCCTGCGCCCTCTGCTTCTGCGTGTGCATTTGACCCCAAGCATGGGCGGGAGAATCTTGTGCTCGCCCTTGCTTGCACAATCCCGCCCTTTCCTCATCGACTGGCGCTTCCCTCCACTCCTTTCCACTCCTGTCCACTCCTCTCCGCCCATGTGCACTCCTCTCTCCCTGCAGCACGAAGCATCGGGACTACTCGGGGTTCTACACGGCAGTGCTGCAGCAGGGCAAGGAGTCCATCACCGCCGCCAGCATCAGGTGCGCTGCTGCACGCATGCCTCCCCATGCATGCTCACATGGACAGGTCGCCTGTATCCGCTGGGGCAATAGGCAGTGCTGCAGCAGGGCAAGGAGTCCATCACTGCCGCCAGCATCAGGTGCGCTGCTGAACCCACGCCTCCACTGTCTCCGGTTCATGGATGGGTCCTCTCCCATGCATGGCTCTCTTCATGTATGCATGTGTGCAAGATGGCCATGCTGTCTTCGTCTTGTCCCTGCTCTAACCCCGTTCTTATCCTCCCTTTTCCCCTACTCCCTTCCTCTCCCTCCACCTTCCCCCGCCCCTCCTGCCTGTGCCCACCAGGGTGTACGGCAGCGAGCTGGCGGAGATGCCTCTCATAGGCACGCGCTTTCGCTACCGCCGCCAGGGCATGTGCTGGCGCCTGCTGCAGCAGATAGAGCAGCTGCTCGCCTCCCTTGTCTGCACCAGACTGTGCATGAGAGGGAGCTGCATGTGTCCCATCCCCCTCATCCACCCCCCCTCCTTCCCATACTCCCTCCCTCCCCATCCGCCTCCCTCCTCCCCCGCAATGTGTGTACCCACCAGGGTGTACGGCAGCGAGTTAGCAGAGATGCCGCTGATAGGCACGCGCTTCCGCTACCGCCGCCAGGGCATGTGTCGGCGCCTGCTGCAGCAGATAGAGCAGCTGCTCGCCTCCCTGGGCGTGCGCAGGTTCCTCCTGCCAGCTGTCCCCGAGGCCGATGCCACGTGGCGCCAGGGCTTTGGCTTTGCTGACATGTCAGCGGAGGGGCGGCGCCAGCTGCTCCAGCTGGACGTGCTCGTGTTCCCCGGGACGGCGGTTCTGGAGAAGGCGCTGCCGGTGCTGCCCCCCGCTGCCGGTGCTGCCGCCCCTGCCGCCCTGCCGCCCCTTGTGGCCGGGCCGGCGGGGCAGTGGAAGCTGGGGGCTGGAGGGAGAGGGGCGGGAGGGGCGGGTGGAGCAGCAGCAGGGGGCGCGGGGGGGGCGAGGGCGGCAGGGGCGGTGGTTGGGGGGAGATTGGGGGGCAGGAGGGGGATGGGGAGGGGCGGGGGGAAGCTGATGCTGCCTGGGCGGAAGGGCGCAGGGAGGGGGCTGGGGCGAGGGGGGAAGTTCAACCTGAGGGGCAAGGCGCTGGGGGTTCAGGGGGGAGGGGTGAGAGCGAAAGAAGGGGCGGGGGAGGGGTTGGTATTGGAGCATATGTGGGCGTCTAAGGGAATCAACGGGCACAGGCGAGTGAAGAAACTCAAAGTCAAGCTCAAACTTGAAGCAGACCCACAGCAACACACTCAACCGCAACCCATCCCACTGCACCCACAGCCGCTCCCTCTCGCCCCTGCACTCCCCGTAGGCCCAGCCCTCCCGTCTCCCTCTGCCCGCCGCGTCGTCCTCCCCCCCACCCCTCGCACCCCTCACACCCCCTCACTCCCCCCCATTTCCCCTGGAAAACATCTTGGGGGAGGGGGGAGAGTGCGCCTCCCCCTTAGAATCCACCCTTTGCCAGAAGACCTGCGGTGGCGGGGGGGAGAGGGGGAGATTCGACTGGTGAAGTACAAGAACTGGCCGGCTAGTGTGCTGCGGCAGCGGCACAGGCAGCGCCTGGCGTACTTGGAAGGGTTGGGAAAGGTGGGAGTGGGTGCGGAGCTGTTGAGTGTGGTGGTGGGGTATGTGGGGCTGCCGTGGCGCGTGCTGCAGTGGGGAGGGGAAGGGGTGGAGTGGGTGGGCAGAGAAGAAGGGGAGGAGGGTCAGGATAGTGTTGATGCTGATGCTGCTGCTACTGGCACGGCCAGTGCTAGTGGGGGGAGTGCTGCTGCTGCTGCTGCTGCTGCTGCTGCTGCTGGCAGTACCAGCAGCAATGTGTTGGTGTGGGGGGTGGAGAAGGCGTATGTGGACTCACCGCCATGGTGCAAGGATACATGCTCCTTCCTCTCAGACCAGTACTGCTCCGACCTTGCTGCTGCTGCCTGCGCTGTCAACGCCGCTGCTGACGCCGCTGCTGCAGACGCCGCTGCAAAAGCTGCCGCTGCTGCTACTGCTGCCCCCGGTCTCCCCCGTGGGTCCCGTCGGTCCGGCCACTCTCGCTCCTCCCACCACCACCACCACCACCACCACCATCACCATCGCTCTAGCCACCATCGCACTACCCACCCTCGCTCCAGTCACCATCGCACGCTGCCAGTGAGCAACCTGTACAAGCAGTTGTCCTCAGCAGCAGCTGATGAAGCCAAGCCCTTAGCGCTCGTGCCTCTGGCAGCTGAGCCTTCTAGTACCTCTGGTGTGTCTTCCCCTTCTGCACCTGCCCTGCTCATTGCTTTGCCTGCTGCGTTGCCTGCCCCTGCCCTACCTGCTGCCGTGCCTGCCGCATTGCATGTCCCTGCCCTGCCTGCTGCCGTGCCTGCTGCGTTGCCTGGTGAAGCCTCAGCGGCTGTGAGCGTCCCTCTGGCACTGCCGGCTGTTCCTGCAGCAGAGGCGGGTGGTATGGCGGATGAAGGAGTGGGTTGGAAACGGTGTGATGTGGTTGAAGTGAAAGCAGAGGAGAAGGCTGAGGGGGAGGTGGAAGGGAATGCAGAGAGCGAGGCTGAAGGGAGTGCAGAGAGGGAAGCAGTCGGGAATGTAGAGAGGGGGGCAGAGGGTGAGGGTGAGAGGAAAGCAGAGACTAGGGCAGCAGACGGGGAAGCTAATGGGAGGCAGCTGCGGGGAAGGGGTGAAGGAGCATCTGGTGCGGTTAGGAGTGGTGCGAAGCGGTGGAGCGAGCAGCAGGGGCAGAGAAAGGCAGCACGGCAGTCCCCTAGGTTGGCAGAGTTGGAAGCGGAGAAACAACTCAAGGCAGTCAACTCGGTCAACTCGGTCAAAGCAACCACCATAAGCAAGACGGTTCCTGCGGGCAAGGCTAGCAAGGCAAGCAGCATGAGTCACATGGTTACTACGAGCACAAACAACACGAACAACACGAGCAATGCGAACAACGCGAGCAATGGAGGGATTATGAGTAATATGGGTGAGGAATGTGAGGCTGTGGTGCCGAGTAGGGAGTGGGGCAAGGAGGGTCGGCGAGGGCCCATGCTGGTGGTGATCGCCCTTGAGGCCCCTGAACGCGTGGAGGGGCCTCTGGATGCTGCTTACTGGGCTCGGGTGGAGGAGGATGCGCGGCGGTGCAGAGCGGTGGAGGAGGGTGAGGGATCGGGGGATGTGAAGCTAGAGAGGGGAGAGGAGGGAGAGGGGGGAGACGGTGGAGAGAGGGGAGAGGGAGAAGGGGAAGAAGGGGACGAAAGGGGAGAGGAGGAAGATGGAAGAACACCAAGTGGGCCTGGTGGGAGAGGTGCGGATGGGGAGGACGAGGGAGGGATGGTGGATGCGGAAGGAGGAGCGCGGAAAGGCAGAGCTGCAGCAGAAGCAGGTGGGGCAGGTGAGGGGGCGGAGGGTGGGGAGGCAGCAGAGCCAGTGCTCACACCATCAGCAGCAGCAGCAGCATCAACGCCAGCAGCAGCAGCAGCGGCAGGGGCGCGAGATGCAGCAGGGAGGCGGGAAGCAGGGGCGGCAGGGGGGACAGGGCGGGCGGGAGGGGAGCGAGTGAGGGTGAGGGCGGAGGCGCTGCAGCGGGTGGTGCGCACGTTTGGCATCGAGGAGATGTGGCGCGCCGTGCCGGTGGAGGTGATTCCATGCGGCACACATGTGCATGGTACAGATGGGACGGGTGAGATGGGAGGGGCAGGTGGGGCAGATGCGGTGGATGAGATGGGTATGATGGGTGTGGTGGATGGTGGGGATGGGTTGGATGCGGTGGGTGAGGCAGAGCAGCTGCTGTTAGGGGGGTTGCATGGGGAAGGGATGGAGCTGAGTGCGGTTCAGAGCGGTGGTGGCGCTGTGTGGAGGTCTGTGCCTGACACGCCGCCGCCTGAGCTTTCCCTGCCGCCCATCGGGCGACGTCCTTTGGCTTTCCAGTTGCCGCCCAGTGCTTTTGAAGATTCACCCAGTGCCACACCGTGCACACTGCAACACTTTCAGATGACACCTGCCTCTCAGATGACACCTGCTTCTCAGATGACACCTGCCTCTCAGATGACACCTGCTTCCCAGATGACACCTTTCTTTCAGATGACGCCTGCCTCTCAGATGACGCCTGCCTTCCAGATGACACCTGCCTCTCAGATGACACCTGCCTCTCAGATGACGCCTGCCTCACACACACCTCTTGTAATCACGGAGCCAACTCCTGCTGTCTCTAAGCTGATTCCCGCAGCCTCCTTGCCAGGAGTTGCTGCCTCTGTGTCGCTGCTTGAGGCAGGGGTCGCAGCAGCAGCAGAAGCAGCAGCAGAAGCAGCAGCAGAAACGGCAGCAACAGAAGCAGCAATACCAGCAGCAGAAGCAGCAGTACCAGCGGCAGAAGCAGTGGTGTTCGCAGCAGAAGCCGCAGCTGAAACAGCAGAAGCATCAGTACCAGCAGTTGCACCAGCACCAGAAACAGCAGTAGCAGCAGTAGCACCAGCAGCAGAAGCAGCATCATTAGTTGCAAAGGCAGCAGCAGCAGACATTCCAGCCGCTGCTGCTACCTCCACACCACTACACCCCATGACAGGCTTCCAGATAGCAGCGAGGGGAGAGGAGCCCACAGCAGATGGTGATCCCTGTGTGGTCGACAGAGAGGAGGGGAGAGGGGGCGAGGGGGAGGCAGGGAAAGTGGAGGGCAACGAGAATGCAGGTCAGCTGCTACCAGCCAGTGTAGTCTGTGATGCCTCCCTTGATGCACCTGATGCTGTGACACCTGAATCAGTGGCACCTGAATCAGTGGCACCTGAAGCTGTGGCACCTGAAGGTGTGGCCCCTGAAGCTGTGGCACCTGATGCTGTGGCACCTGATGCTGTGGCACCTGAGTCTGTGGCACCTGAATCTGTGGCGCCTGAATCTGTGGCACCTGAATCTGTGGCACCTGAATCTGTGGCACCTGAATCTGTGGCACCTGAATCTGTGGCACCTGAATCTGTGGCACCTGAAGCTGTGGCACCCGAATCTGTGGCACCTGAGCCAGCAACAATACTAACACCAGCTGACCCTTGTAACAAATCTCACCATAGCCCTCACCACCCCTCATCTATGCCAGTGCAACACCTCGTGCTGCTGCCTAGCCCTGCTGCTGTCTCCCCGCCCCTTCCCTACCCTCCGCAACACCCTCTTTCACATCCAGTCCTCACCATGCTTCCCGCTCCACTGTCCCCTCCCCATTTACCTCCGCCTCCGCACCCCCCTTTACAGCTCCCCCATCCCTTATCCCTTCCACCCACTGACCAAACCGCCTTCCCACAATTCTCCCTCGCGCTCCCCACCCCTTCCCCCACAGCGACCCCCCTCCCCCCGCCGCTCCCCCTCAGCTTCCCCTGGCTTCTTCTCCCCGGAACCTCTATCCCCCCCAACCTTGCTTGGCGCCAGTCCTCCCGCCCAGTGCCCCTCGTGTGGGCTGCGAGCAGTGGCAGGCAGGGGGAGGGTGAGGGGGCGGGAGTGGGGGGAAAGAGGAGGAGGTGCTTGGCTGGGTTGGCAGACGCAGGGGGAGAAGGGGGGGTGGCGGAGGGGAGGGGGAAGAGGAAGAGACGGGGCAGGGAGAGGGGGAACGGGTGGGGGGAGGGCAGGGCGGATGGTGGGATGAAAGGTGTGGCACTTGCTGGTGCTGCTGCTGGTGGTACTGCTGGTGCTGTTGCTGGTAACGATGCTGCTGGTGCTGGTGCTGGTGGCGTTGGTGGCAGCAGCGGGGTGGAGGGGGGAGTGAGATTGCGGTTGCGGCGGGTGGTGAAATCCCCCTCGTGGCTGCTTCAGGGCGTGAGGCACGCGGGGGAGGACGGGGCAGGCGAGGGAGGGGAGGAGGAGGGCGAGGGAGACGAGGCAGGGGCAGGGAGAGCGGGAGGGGCGGTAGAGGAGCGGAGGCGGAGGGGCGGGGGTGCTGGGGTGGGGGGCGAGGGGTGGGTGTATGGGGTGGAAGAGGAATGGGTGCCCAGCAGTGCTGTATGCCGCAGGCGGCGGTCGGATTCAACACGGCGGGCGCGAGCTGTGGGGGAGAGGCTTTCTGGCGAGAAGGTGGATGGGCCCAGGGTGGAACGGCCCTCACAGGAGCATCACCAGCAGCACGGGACAAGTGGCCTGCTGTCTTGGCCTCTCACTGATGCTACTGCTGGTGCTGCTGCTGCTATGGCTGGTGCGGTGGGCGGCATGGGCAATGCTACTCGCACGCCAACCGGTGTGCGGAAAAAACGGCGAGGCAGCAGCACCGCTGTTATCGCCGCTGCCTCTGCTTCTGCTTCTGCTGCAGCGTCCCCTGCACCTAATGTCGAAGCTCCCAGCGCCACAGGCAATGGGATTGCCAGAGCAGCAGCAGTGCCAGCAGCAGTGGCAGTGTCGCCCGTGCCTCAAACACACTCCCCTCGTTCCAGCCACCGCACGTGCCGGCAGGGGTGGCGGGCAGCAGGGGGCGCAGCTCGGCTGATAGCTTATCGCGGCCGGGAGGTGATTGCTGGGGAGGGTGGGTCTGAGAAGGGGCGTTGCGATGGTGCAGAGGATGGGGTTCTGTTGGCAAGGACGAGTGGAGGGGAGAGGGTAGCAGAGGGAAGGAGAGGGGTGGGGGTAGAGACGCCCGCTGTAATGGCTGTTGGGGGCCTGCTGCAGTCATATGTTGGTGGGGGACGGGCCGGGGTGATTGCGGATGCTGCAGTGTCAGGGGCTGTAGCAACGGCAGGTGCAGGGGCAGAGGGAGGAGCAGCAGGGAGAGTGCTGCGTGGTGGTAGGATTGTGCCCTTGTTGCAGCCAAATGTTGCTGGATCAGCAGTGATGACAGAAGCAGGAGCAGCAGGAGCAGCAGGAGAGGCAGCCGCAGCGCCAAGAGCAGCAGCAGCACCTGTGACGGCCGGTGCAGCAGCAGTGGCGCTTCCTGTGGTGGCAACAGCGGAGGGGGGGTTGCACACCACTCTTATAGAGGGGACGGCCAAAGTGCCTATGTGGGGGATGCAGTACAAGCGGCGTCGGGTGGATCGGCGGAAGGGAGATAGGGGGTGCAGTGAGGGTGGAGGGGAGGGCAGTGTGGACACTGGGCCGTTAGATGTTGACATGGGGAGCAGGGGAGAGGTGCATGGAGATGTGACAGGTGATGTTGGCATGAGAGACATGGGAGACATGGGGGATGTGGGAGGTGTGGGAGGTGTGGGGGGTGTTGGAGGGAAAGGAGCAGGCTACGAGGGTGTTGAGAGTGGTGCAGATGGTGCTCATTCCGTTGGCGCCGCTGGGAGTGGCGCGACAGCGAGCAGCAGCGGCGTGGATCGGATTCTGTCTGCCTCCGCCTCGCACAGCTGGAGCAGCAGCCATGGCGTGTCAGCTGTAGCGGTGCCATCAGGCAGTATAGGAGGGATGGACAAGGGCAGCTGCAGGCATGTCATGCTCACGCGTGGATCACACGGGCATGTGTCACAGACGCAAGGGTCGGAGGGGCATGCATCTCATATGCATTTGTGCCACACGGAGGCTGTGTCTCGAGAGCGGTCGCTGCTGGCATGTGTGAAGGACGAGCTCATGGTGGAGGCAGCCTCGCTGGCAGCCGGGGAGACGCTTGTTGGCGGGCAAGCTCCTCAGGCAGAAGCACCATCGGAAGTACCAGCAGCAGCAGCACCAACAGCAGAACTACGAGCCCCCACAGCAGCGATTTCTGCATCGGAAGAGAACATGTGTCACGAGGTATCAGCGCGTGTCGTGTCAGCTGTTAGCCAGCAGCAGCAGCAGTGGGCGGGGAAGGAGGAGCAGCAGGAGCTGGAGGAGCAAGAGCAGCCAGTGGAGCAACGACAGGAGGGCAAGGGGCAAGAGCAGGAGAAGGTTCGGCAGCAGCAGCAGCAGGAGCAACAGCAGCAGCAGCATCAGCAGCAGCAGCAGCAGCAACAGCAGGAGCAGCAGCAGCAGCAGCAGCAGCAGCAGCAGGCAGCCCGTTTGTCAGCGCGAGGTCCAGCCCACCGGTCCACATTCAAGCTGGAGAGGCTAAGCCTTCTCTCCCTCTCCCCTGTTGTGGGCCGCTCTAAGTCTGCAGGCACTGAGGGGCCGCTGGGGTTGGCTGAGGTGGGGGGGAGGAGACGCAGCAGCAGACTGTTGGAGGGGCAGGGGGCAGGGGAGGAGGGCGAGAAGGGCAAGGCGGGAGGGGTGGTGGGCGAGAAGGGGAAGGCGGGAGGGGAGAGGGCAGAGGAGGGGGTGGTGGGAGGGAGGAATGTGGAGAGTGGTGAGGGGAAGCAGAGGCGGCGTGTGGGGGTGGTGGTGGCTGCTGGTGTGGCAAGAGGTGGCAGTGCTGGTGCTGCTGGTGCAGGGGAGGTGAGAGGGAAGGGGCAGAGCAGCAGCAGGGGGGCAAGCGGGGCAGAGAAGCGGGTGCTGTTCCTGAATGGGGTGGGGGCGGGGGAGAGGAGGGGGTGTGTGAGTGCGCAAGGTCTCGAAGCGTCAGAAGATGGAGATGTGGTGGAAGTGCAGGGGAAGGAGCGGGGGAGGGACGGCGGGGAAGAGGAGAGCAGCAGGGGATTCGAGTCAGCAGCAGCTACTCCGCTCCCCCGCGCCACACTTCTGTGGTCCCCTGGGCCACTGCTGCCCCCCCACTCTGGCGCCCCGCCCTCCCCCTGGCGCTTGGATGGAGTGGGGGAGAAGGAGACGCAGAGAGATGTGGAGAGGGGGAGTGAGGGGAGAGATGCGCAGGAGGTGAGGGTGGAAGGGAAGGAGGAGGTGATGGGGAAGAAGGAGGGAGAGGAGGGGGAGGAGCAGGAAAAGGTGGCAGAGCAAGGGGTTGTGGCAGAGCAGGGGATGGTGGAAGAGAAAGAAATTGTGGCAGAGCAAGAGGCAGTAGCAAGGGAGCCAGGAGCAGCACGAGCAGGTGCAGAGGAGGACACACGGATGCAGGACTCGGCAAGTGCTTTGCCCCTGCAGGCCTCTCACACCCCGCACACCAACCCATCCGTGCCATGTGCCGTCTCTGCTTCGTCATGTGGTGCTGCCTCCACATCCGTTGAAGAGTCCGTTCCTTCACATCCTCTCCCAGCGGTAGTGCCTGCAGCACCATCAATACCACTTCCACCACCATCAGCAGCAGCAGCAGCAGCAGAAGCAGCAGCAGAAGCAGCAGCAGCAGCAGCAACAGCAGGAGGCAAGTCTGTCAGCACACCAGTATACGTTCCAGAGACATGTCAAGCCAGTCAAGATGTGAAGGAGCAGGTACAGCAGGCCTACAGGCCACCCATTGCCATCCACCTCCTCACTTCCTCCTCCAAGTCCTCCTGGCCCGCCCTTCCACCCACCACCACACCAACAAACCCAAGGGAGGTAACCTGGTTACCACCTCCAAACATCACCACGTTACCATCACCTTCCACCACAGGCCTGTCGCCTTTGTGTTCCCCATTGGCCCCCTCACCCACCACACTGATGTATCAGAGGAGGCGCCCGGCTGCTCCTCGAGAGTTGCCCTTGCGTGTGTTTGGTGATTTTGTTGCCAAGCAGCGGGATTCTGCCGTTTCGCCTGACATGCGGCTGACTAGAGCTGCTGCATCAAGATTGCATCTGACCAATCAGGATGAGAATGACAGGACGTTTAGGTGATTTGGTAGGCTGTAGCTGTACTGATCACAGCATTTCACAGTAAAGCACTTGGGTGTTGTGAACTACCATTCGCTGAATAACAAGTTTTGTCTGGTGATTGGTGTGTTTGTGTGATAGTTAGCTGGGATAGCAAGTCATGTTTGCTCTCTGATTCTTCAGAAGACATGCCTCCACCCATGAATAGGTGGTAGTGACAGGTCACTATCTACAGTACTACCATTCACCTCTTTCCCTTTTGAAAGCAGTGGCACTTTTGTGTGATTAGCCAGCATTGTGGACAGGACACAAGCAGCTACCGGTATATCCTTCCAGGAGATATGCAAACAAAGAAAAATGGTTCTTTTGATTCATGGTATTCCACATGTACAAGACAGGCAGCAGCAGCAAGCCTCCTATAGTCAAACCATCAGCGCTTAGTACACAACCTGGGCCTCGTTGTCAATGAAGTCAACAGACCCAGAGTCCACCGGCCGCATGAAATAGAGCGCGAGCAGCTCGCCGATAAACGACGCCAGCACGGGGAACCGCTGCACGTTCTTCAGAGCATCAGGGGCATCGCTCTTGCCAATGTCAACAAGCTTCTGGTTGAGGCCGACGAGCACGTCGAGGCGGCGCTGGAACTCGGGGTTCTCGACGTCGAGCACGGCGGGGAAGATGCGCGCCGTGGTCTTGTTGGTCTCGATGATCACGTGCATGTTGAACTGCTTCGTGTTGAGCCCCAGGCCCTCGTAGAACGCCGTGCGCTGGTGGTCGTTCAGGTACATCGTCACGTACACCTGCGAGAGAGCACGGAGAAAAGCTTTTTAGCTTCCAAACCCAGAAAATACCAGACTATAGAACTGGGAGAAATCTGGGGTGAACAGCAGCACAAACAGTCAGCGGCAACCTAAGCTGTCTGAATTGTAACACGATTTTATCAGCACTGGGCTTACCGAGAGGCAGAAGAAGCGCGCCCAGAGCTTGGAGCTCCAGTCCTGGAGGAACTTAGGGTAGCACTTGAGCATGGCGGTGAAGAAGTCGCCGTGGCGGTTCTCGTCTTGGCACCAGTTCTCGAACTTCTGGAAGATGGGGTAGCACTGGTACTCGGGGTTCTGGGCCAGGTGGCGCCAGATGGTGATGTAGCGCCAGTAGCCGATCTTCTCGGAGAGGTACGTGGCGTAGAGGATGTACTGCGGCTTGAAGAAGGTGTACTTGCGCGCCTTGGTGAGGAAACCCAGGTCCAGGGACAGGTTGAAGTCGGACAGAGCCTTGTTCAGGAAACTGCAGATAGCAGACAGAGAAACAAGGTCATTGAGGAGACAGAGAAACGAGGTCAGTGAGGAGACAGAGAAACGAGGTCATTGAGGAGACAGAGAAACGAGGTCATTGATTCGCGGATACGAGCGGAGAGAGGCGTGCGGGTGAACTTACCCGGCATGTCGGGCCTCGTCGCGAGACATCAGGGTGAAGATCTCAGCGATGCAGGGGTTGGTTTTCTGCACAAGAAAAACCGACAGACGTTAGAAAAGGAAAACGCGCTGCTTGCAAAACAAATGCCGAGGGCTCCAAATGTAGACAATTTTATTCATGCTGAAAATGTTGTATGTTGTTAGATGCACACGCACCTTGAGGCGACGGCCGAGCTCCTTGTAGAGCAGGAAGCCGGAGAACTCGGCTGTGCACGACCGCTCGAGGAACTCAACGAAGATATCCCTTGCGGGGCCCTGGATCTTGTCGGCGGCAGCCTTGAACTCGGGCGTCCTGACGAAGTGCGTCTGGTTGTAGTCCGCCTTGAACTCCTCGAGGCACGCGTCGAACTCAGCCTGGTTCAGGTACGGATTGATGTCCCTGTTGAACAGCTGGAGCAGGGTGGGAAAGGAATAAAACCAACAAAATTATTTCTAACGCCAATGGCAAATGCGATTTTCCGTAGCGGTACTCCTGTCAATCTACGCTCTTTTCGACTCTGCTGTGATTCGAGCTAAAGCGATGAGATGCAGCGTCGAAGGTTGTGAAATCATACCCGCTCCATTTCGTCGAAGTCAGTGGTGTAGAAGCGGGGGGTGAGGAGCGTCTCCTTGGACGGCTCCTTGGACCCCTCTCTGGGCTTGTCCTTAGCCACCTCCATCGTCACCCGTCCAGCGGCCGCCTTCACGCCGAAGTTGGCCTTCGGGGTGAAGCTAGAGAAGCTCACATTCTTGCGGCTAGACACGCCTGACAGGGACGCCGGCGCGAGGGACGCGCGCGACACGGTAGCCGTAGGGCAAGTCACGGCAGCCATGGCTAAAATTGACTTTCGGACGAACTGGATGAGCTTCAGGGAGAGACACCTCACTTGGTTGTCTTACGAGGTGTATCTGAAAGATAAAGGCCAGAGCGTGGTGGTGGTGGTGGTGGTGGTGCTCTTAGGGAGCTCCCTGCCTGTGCTGGTGATGCGCCTCTGAATCAAACTCCGAGGGTCCAGGGAGTGTCGGTTCAGTCACGCCCCTTCCAAGCACGGTTTGCCCCAGAAAAAGTAGGCATTTGCGACGATTCGGGAATGAACCAGATGATAGGGGCCTGAGTTGGCACGAATTAATTGGTTTATCGGGTCATGGCAATCTGAACTCTGCCCGTAAGTCCAGGTGGCCGGAACCCAAGTGTGACGTCAACACATTCGAATAATCACATCTGAATAAGGGCATACAAAATACGTGCACACTACTTCTGTATTCAGTTATCGAAGAGAACGTGACTGAAATAAGCTAAATTGCAAGACATTGAAACAAGGTAGCAGCAGTCACATGCACCACGTCCCAGATGCATCCCTTGATTTTATTTCAAATGCAATTACTGATGGTTGTATCTATTAGACTGTATATGCTCATACTTTATCAATGTAATGTAAGTTGGATTATGAGTTGTATGAACCATCTCATTTGATGCATTGCAACTTTCTCTCTCGAAGAAAATATGCATGGAAAATAAGGGCGTATTCCTATCCTCCTATCAAGAAAACCTCTTATCAAGCCCACACAGGAAAATTGCCTAAACCCAAAATCTCTCGCTACTTTCACCAGGCAAAATGTGCATTCTTGATAGGAGGTTTCTTGATAGGAGGCCGTAGGAATACGCCCTAAGGTGTGAGTGCGTGTGTTCCCTCATTAGTGGTGCTCATACCGCATTCACGTGAATGGAGTGCAGCCTTTATTATGAAGTGGCGATATGTCATTTACTCGAGTTGATCAGGGCTCGACTCCTGAATATTAGCGTCAATGGTAGCCATGACCAGACCAATTTTTTGTCACATGAGCAGCACCGCATTGACATCATCCTGGTCAGGAACCTCTTGAAGCTTTGCGTCTGCTGTCCGTGATGACCGTGTCCTTGCCGATAATCGCCTGACATTCGCAACCATCGTCACCATGACTTAACTTTCGGGCCGAATCTGACTGCAAAGAAACCCGGCGCAATGTTGGAAAGTCTCGTGTTCTCGCTGGTGGGAGGTTACCTCTCGCACTACCTCAAGAACTTCCACAAAGAGCAGCTCCGAATCGGAGTATGGCGACGTGAGTCTCACGAACTTAAATGTCTTGCTTACGAAGCAGTTAACCCGTGATTAACATCCCTTTCTGCCTCATTCCAGGTCGCTGCATAGCCTGATTGCACGAACATCATTGTATGAGCGAATTTCATAACTCTTGTCGAATATCAGTTGTTTCACTTCGGAATATAATAGGTTGACAGACGTTAGAAGCAATCCCGCAGCGTGTCTTCACTAGCAGTTCCGTCACCTGGCTCAGGATGATCGAGCTGTCTGACCTCAGGATGAATTCAGACGTCCTCGTCCTGACATTGCAGCCTTCAGGATCAATCATGTCACTGAGTTGGAATCAGTCCCTGTTTGGGAAACAATTTAGTTGTCTCGCTTCAGGATCAATTAGGACTCTGGAACATCAAACCAGCTGGCTTCCGTCAAAAGCAATCTAGTCGCCTGACTTCAAATCTATGTCACCCGTCTGGCGTCATAGTCGAGTGGACAGCCTGTCTGGCTTCAGAAGCTATCCTGTCGTCTGGTTTCAGAATCAAACCGGTTGTGTGCCTTCAGACGCAATGATTTCATGTTCAACCCAGTCCGTCTGAGTCCAAAATCCAATTGTCAGACTTTATAGTTGATCCTATTAGAAGTGATTGACTTCTGCTGCTTGAGCAGGGGTGGTAAGACTAAACGACTTGGAGATCAACACAGCAGCATTCGACCACCTTCAGCTGCCATTTTCGATCCACCATGGTATATATATCTGTCATAGCTTCCATGACACCGTTGCACTTCACTTCGCATGAAGGACACACCATGCCACCTCATTGTTCTGGGGCATCAATGTTCACTATAACTTCCCCAGTTTGTAAATTATTTTAATTGTGACAGTCTCTCTGATTTATGTTTCATCGGCTGGTTCGTATATACCATTTATTCACTTATTACCAATAAAGGCTTCTCTGTTAAGCTGCTGGAGCCTCCAATTTCCTTCTGTGTGGTTGCAGGGAAGATCGGTAGTCTCAGCCTGCAGCTGTCCATGAAAAGGCTGGGCCGAGAGCCGTGCGTGTCTGTGACTATCAGCGACGTGCTTATAGTGATGGCACCAAGGGCGGACCATGAGGTGTGTCCCTCGGAGTATAGGCTCCTTGCTCGTGCACTTCCCTAGCAGTCCCTAAACCCTAAATCCTGGACCTTTGAGGAGCTGTTCGATCACTTTGCTTCGCCTTTCCCCTGCTTCTGTCCTTGTCGTTGATGATTTTCGGCCACTGCTCTCGTACTACCTGTTATTCCCTCCTGCGTCACCTTGTGCTTCCCTGGCTGACGGTGTGCACTGCGCAGTGGTCAGAGGGTCCGGCAGTGGTGAGAGAGATAGCCGCCAAGAGGGCATCGCTGGCTGCAGCCGAGGTGGTGAAGATGTCAGAACAGGGTGAGGTGATGTGAGGGCAGGATGGCCGAGATGACGTGAGAAAAGGGCTAGGATGGGGAGGATTGTGTGGGGTGAAACACCTCATCCTTTGTTGCGACGTCATTGCTTGATGGGTGGATCCTCAGCAATGATTTGTTTGCAATCATGTGCCCTCCCGTTTCTTCTCTTCCCTGTGACTGCATCGCTGTTTGCTCCCAGGCAATGGTGTCGGGGCGTCAGCACTCTCATACTTCTCAGCCGTTGTAATGTGCCTCCCTCTGATACCGTTAGTCTGCACTTCACACCGAACTATTAATAGCATGATAATCTTCGTATATCTTTGCTCACAGCGTGTGTGTCCTACCTAGATATCCCACATCATCTGCTTCACGTGTCCACATCTCCTTCATCACCTGCATCACCTGCTTTACCTGCATCATGGCAGGGATTGAACGCTCTGGAGGTGTTGGTGACATCTGTGCACGTCAAGTACACACACTCCTCCTCCGACCCCAAGGTTCGTGCTCCAGTTTTGTTTGCTGTTTGCACCCTACCTGCCATGCCTCTTACACTGTCATCTCATTAGCTACCTGTCTGTTTCTTGAGCACCGCATTCGACTGCTTTGCTGGAGTCTTTTCATCTGTCCTCATTCTCATGCTCTGCTCTCCCGCATTTCCTCCTCTCCAATCACTGTCCCTCTCACCTCCGTTCCCCTGCAGGCGGCCTTTGAGTTTGGCGTGCACCTGGAACATCTCTCTGTCGCTGCTGCTGGCTCCAAGGATCCACTTGCTGCTGCCGCTGCCGCTGCTGCAGACGCCATTGCTTCTGCATCCGCCACTGCTCTCAACACCAACCCCGCTGGTGCTGCTTCTGCTGCTGGTGGTGGTCCTGGGTCGACTGCTTCCTTCTTTGTGCCTCCAGACAGCCAGACACCCACTGAGAAGCTTCTGGAGCAGCAGTGGGAGCAAGAGGCGGCGCAGGGGCAGGGAGGGGGGCAGGGGAAGCCACAGATAGGGGACGCGGGCAGGAAGGGAGGCGCAGGGAGAAGTTTACGAAAGAGCATTGAGGTGCGGGGATTGTCGTTCTACTGGAATTCCTGCAAGAGAGGGTTCGAAGGTAGGACTTCTGGGCCTAATGGACAGGGAGTTGGGGAGAGGAGGACAGGGAAGGAAGGGGCAGAGGGTGGGGAGAGATGGAGACGGGGAGGAGCAGTGAGGGGTGGTTCGGGAGAGAGGGGAGGAGAGGAGAGCATGGATGCGGACTTAGTGTGGGGCGAGGGTGAGTTAGTTCCCAGTGATGATGAGGAGGAGGATGGAGGGATGGGTGCCAAGAGGCAAAGGCGAAGAGAGGCGGGTGACCCGATAGGAACGGGGAGGGGGCAACTCAGTGGTGGCCGGAGGGGGGAAGATGGAACGGCAGCAGTGGCGAACAATATGTTGCATTCTTTGGATGCTTCCATCAGACTTGTGGTACGGCATGCTGCATGCATCCTGATTTGGTTTGTGTTTCATAGCCTCACGGTTTATGGATCATGGATCATAGCTATGCGAGCACGCATGCTTAAGCTGATGACATGTGCTAACAAGTTCATCACATGTGGCAATACAATGGTGATGCACGAGTGCATGTGTCGTTCAATCACATGCTCTTCGTCACTGTTGGCATTCCACCGTGTCGTCTGCTTGTTCTTGCAGCTATTCCCTCTCTCTTCTTTCTCACCCCACCATCGATCTCAATCTTCATCACCACCTGGCGTTGTCGCTCGACTAACATTTCCGCTGTCTGTTCCTTTCCATCCCTTTCCCCCTTCCAGATGCATATGGGCCCGCCTGTGCACACAAGCAGTGCTCCTGTTTCTGTCTCTCTCCGTTGCAACCGCCTGGTATGTTGAGACCACCTTATCTGAAGTGCGAAAACCACCTAACATGTACCCCATACGCAATCATGAAGAAGCATCTCGTTCTACTTATTCTGGGAACCTTCATACCTGGAGTGTTTGCTCATAAGTTGTGTGTCTTATCTCCCATGCCCTTTTACGCTTTCCACCTCCCCCTTCTATCTCCCCATCTGTGCCAGCGAGTGTCCCTGGAGGAGCACCAGTACCAGGACGTGCTGCTGCTGGTCGATGCTCTCAACGTGCTGCACCTCAGAGAAAGGTCCCTCTTTCGCTCCCCTACATCGCCACACAGACAGACGCACACCTTGACGCTTTTCACTCACCTCTCTGCTGCATGTTCTGCTCCCTCATTTATCTGCTGCCACTCATCTTTGTGTGAAACTGTTTCTCTCTGCAGGTATGGCCGCTTTCGCCCTGCGGCCTTGTTCTCGTCCTCCCAGACCACACCAACTAATGGCACCGCGAAGCCAGCCGACAACACAACTGCAGCCCGCGGGGGTCAGCAGGGCTGCAGCGAGAGAGTGCGCGCATTGTGGTCATACGCCCTCAACGCCGTGCTCTTTGATGTGCGCCAACGCCTCTACCGCCGCTCCTTCCTCTACCTTCCCTCCCGTCTGTACGTCCCTTCCACTCCAACCACCTATGCCTTCAGCACCCTTCCCGCACCACCCTCCCTCCATACACCACATGCGTGCTCGCCCTGTCGTATTCTCCTGTAAACCACTCATCTGCTTCCGTACACTCTAATCTCGTCTCTCCCCTCTCTCCGGAACACGATCCTCTATTCCTGCCTTGCTCCACCCACACCATTGGTACCGCCACACCAGGACGAAGCGGCGGAAGTACGTGGCCTTGTACACAAGGAAGCTAGAGTTGCTGCAAGACCTCCCTGTGAGCACGTTTCTCCTTGTGGAAGCCTTTCGCACTTGCTGCATGTTGGCCTATGTTTACCTGCTTTGTTTCTTTATTATATGCTTTATGGATACATAAATATGTCTATTCCTGTTTCGAGGTGCAGGTGGAGGAGAGGCAGCAGCTGGAGGAGATGGAGGACGAGCTGGACTTAGAGGACATTCTCCTATTCAGAACAGCTGCTGCTCAGGTACGCAGTCTACTTGTCTGTAGCATGACAGTGTTTCGTGCTGCTGTACACACGACTTGCTGATATTCACCTTGTCTGCCTCTTCGACCCCTGCTGACTCCTCGACAGAAATTGTATGTTCGCCCACCCTCCCCTCCGTTGCGTTTTCATTCCTCTCTTCGTTCTGCAGCGCACTGCCCGCACAGAATGGGGCAACCCCTCCGCGGCAAAAGACTCCACGGAAGATGCCTCTGAGGAGAAAGACGGGCGAGGGGACAAGCGCAAGGGTAAAGCCGCCCAGCAAAAACAACAGCAGCAGCAGCAGCGGAGGGGGAGGGGGTGGTTGAACTGGTTATCCCAGGGCATGCTGGGCGCAGGTGGCTCTGATGCATCTGCTGCAGCTGATGTCATGGCTGCTGTCAGCGATCGTGACTTAGAGGAGCTCTATCGCACGCTGGATTCGCCCTTTGATGCTTCTGACGGGGATCACGGGCTGGATGAGCCTTCCTGGATGTCCACGTCAGCATCCACGTCATCATCGGCATCTATGGCCATGGATGCCACGTCAGCAGCACCGAGAGCCATGAACAGGAGCCGCTCCTCGGTGCACACCCTTTCATTCTCCGAGTCCTCCTCTTCGCTCGACACCGCCATTCCCGAGGACTCCAGTGTGCCCCCCAGACGAGTGCTCCATGAGGCGTCTCACAGGGTGACTCATGGCAGGGCACCGGTGTCGGTGTGTCGACTGGCGTTCACTGCACAGGTGGCAGACGGCCATGCCTCCCTGCGCAGCTCGTGAGTGTGCTCTCTCTTTCCTTCCACCTTACTACATGCATCCTCCCTTGCATCTCCCTTATTCCAACGAGCAAGCCCCAGACCACCTCTATTTTGTCTTCTCCCCTCTGAGTCCGGCCTGGAATGCTTTCCTCTTACAACACGGCTCTAGCTCCCTCTGTTTCTGCTGCTCCTTCCCTTTTCCACCCGCCTTTCAGGTACTCACGGCGGGACATTTTGAGCCTCAGGCTGCGAGGGCTGCTGGTCAACTCGCGAGTGTGGACCAGCTCCTCCTCCCTCTCCCTCACTCTCTCCTCCCTCGAAGCCTTCGACCTCTGGAGCACCTCAGGAAGTGCCAAGGGGCCGCTCAATGCCTCTGCCTCATTCGCCGGACCAGGATCTAAGGGCATGCGAGCGGGTATAGGCATGGCAGGCGGCGTGAGCAGTGGAGGAAAACTTGGGGATAATGGAGGGGAAGGGAGAGGAGTTTCTCCATCCTCCTCTCAGGAGGATGAGGCCGTCAGGATTCTCTTTCCACAAGTACGCTTCTCTGTGCCTGTGCTGTGCCTCGTTGCACCTTTGCAACACCAGCGATGTCACCAGTGCACGTGTGTGTTTACCTACCCGTCCTATTCTCACCTGTCCCTGCCCCTCTCATTCTCACCCGCCCTCTCCCATCCGTGCAGCTCCCACACGCCTCCCTGCACGACTTCCTCCCCACGTCCCACCCATCCCACCCCTCCTTCCACTCCGCAGCCTCCTCCTTCGCCTCTCCCTCCACCGTCTCCTCGCCCTCTCCAGCAGGGCACGGCCATCTGCTGCTGCGTTCTTCCAGTGCTGCCTGGGGCCTGGGCCGCCCAGCCTTGGGGGCGGGCCTGGGGGGACCTGTGGGGGGCGGGGGGAAGGGGCAGATGTTACCACGCACGGATTCTCGCGTGGGGTTGGGGGTGGGGGTGGGGGCGGATGGGAGGCTGGGTATGCTGCTGGGAGCAGGAGCTGGGATTGGGTATCCAGGCTCACATGCCTATCCCCATGCCAATGCGCCTCTAGCAGCGCATGGCTATAGTTCTGCACATAGGCATGGGCATGGGCATGGGCATGAGCATGGGGGTGGGCAATGGAGGCTGGCCGAACATGCGACGGAATCAGTCAGCTCTGGGTATTGGTGCCATGGCTGCAGCAGAGCATGCGGTTGCTATGGGTGGTGGGGGCGAGAGAGGGATTGGAGTGGGTGAGGTGGGGGGGAGGGGCTATGGGGGTGAGAGTGAGATGCATGGGTGGAGGCCTGTGGGACAGATGCAAGCTGTGGCGGCAAGACCAATGCTGCGGGTAGAAATCGAAGTGCACTCGCCCCATATTCATAGCCATGGGCACGAGCATGGGCACGAGAATGGTGGAGTGGGAGGGGATGAGGTGGAAGGCGGTGCGCCCAATGAAATGGAGACGACAATCTCGGTGAGCCCTCTGCCTCCCGTCACTTACCTGCTGCCAGCACAGCTCTGAGATTTGCTCCACTACCGCTTTCTGTCACTACTGCCTCTTGCCACCACCGCCTCCTGTCACCCACCCGCTTTCTGCTTTCTGTCTGCCTGCCCCGCTGCTCATCTTCCTCCGTGACAACAGGTGGCAGTGGAGCCAGTGCAGGCGGTGGTGGGTGTGGAGGTGCTGAAGCGGGTGGGAATGTTCTTCAGCCATCCCACGACTGTGCCCACACACCAAGAACAGGTGCGCATTGACTGTTTTCTGTCATGAAACCATGAGCTGGCGAGTCTTTATTCTTATGTACTATCTTGTGTGCTGCACTGATGTGGCGTGCCCCTATCATCACAATGAATGCTGTGACATCCGTTGCTCTGGCCTGCCATGCCATCCCATGCTATGCCACACCATGCTGCACTATGCCATGCCATGCCATGCCACGCCATGCCATGCCATGCGAATGCCATCAGGTGATTGCGTCCATCAACTCGTTGGACTCAACAACCGCTCGAGCCACTGCCAAGTCCGGGTGAGCTGCACTGCAATCTACTCAGGCTTTCCATTCCCTACTGCTGCCTAAAAATCTTGAAATCCGAGGCGCCCCTGCCCTGCATGTGTGTTCCGCAGGTCACATCACAGCGCTCTGATCATTCCTCCGCTCTTCCTGGCCTTCCAATCTCGCTGATTCTCTCTTTCCTCTCTTGTCTGCCACTTCTCCCCCCAGCCTGGTGCTAGCCACGCGCAAGGTGCTGCATCTGCATGTGGACGTGGCAAGCCTCACAGTCGTTGTTCCGCACTCTGACACATACCTCTCTGCCCGCCCCTGTCCCCTGCTGGTAAGCCTGACTACCAAAGTGCCACAGGCAGAAAGAATGCTTTGGCAAATGCTTTCTAAAATCAGCAGAAGCTACTCCGAGTTAGTGTACTGTTTCTCATGTGCCTGCATCAATTACTTCTAGAGCCACATCTCCCCATCCTTCTCCTGTTCCCCCCCCCCCCCTGTGGAAGTGCAGGTGCTGCAGCTGGCATCGCTGCACATCTCGTCCATCCCTGAGCCCCCTGAGCGTTCCCTCCTTGCGAACGCCCTCGCCTCCTCGGGCAACCTGCGGTCAGCACTCTCCGTCCTGGGCGAGAAGGGCCTGATGGGCGGGCGTGACGTTGGTATGAGAGGAGGAACGGCAGAGGGCCAGGGGTTGGCAGCAGGAGGAGTTGAAGTGGAGAGGGAAGGGAGAGAGAAGGAAGGAGAGAGGGTGGGGGGAGTGGGCGTTGGAGGTATGGAAGGAGGCACAGGCAGTGGTACGGACGCTGGGCATGGGAATGGACAGATGGGAGGGGGAAGGGCGGGAGGCGTTGGGAAGAGAGGCATGGCGGAGTGGGTTCAGAAGATGGTGCTATTTGACAGTGTTGCAGTTAAAGCCGCTGCTGTCAAGGTCCGTTGCTCCTCCCTTCCCTTTTCTTTGATTTGCTTCCCTTCACTCCCTATATGCCCCATACTGCATGCCTGTCACTCCGCCCTTCTCCAAGCCCCTCTCGCACTGCCTCTGCTGCCACCTGCGTGCCCCTACCCGCAGGTGTTTCTGGTTCCACCACCTCCTCGCACTGCACTAGCCACACCACCAGCCCCACCAGTCTCCCACCCATTCTGGCCAGGCCTGCCCCCAGGAGCACTGGGAGCACCAGGGAACATGTGGATGGGCGGTGGTGGTGGTAGCAGCATGCCAGGAGCGGGCAGTGCAGGGGAGGAAGGCAGTGAGGGTGGCAGAGAGCTGCCTCTGGTGGAGGAGTTTTCAGTCCACCTGCACCTGCTGCTCTGCGCTCTCTCAGGCGACCCTGCCACCACCAAAGCTGTTGTGAGTGCACTGCCTAGCTTTCCGCCTCACTCAAGCTCACCACCTTCCCACCTCACTCCCCCTCTGCAGCACAGCCGCTCCCCCTCCACATCGCATTCCCCCATCTCAGCTCATTGCTTCCATCTTACTCCCTGTTTTCACCTTCGCCTTTCCCTTGTTCTCTGCAGGTGCAAGGCAGCATTCCTCACGTCTCCATCATCCTCTCCCTCCCCAATCTCCGCCTCCTCCTCTCCATCCTCTCCTCCCTCACTCCACCCCCATCGTCCCCGCCCCCCAAGCCAGCACACCAGCCATCCTCCTCCGCTATCCTCTTCCCTCCCACCACCTCATCCTCCCAAACCCCTCCCCACGCTGCCCCCACCAGCAGCAACAACCCTCTGCCTGCCTCAGGGCCCATAGCTGTCCCACATCGCGTGGGGCAGCTGCAAGGAGGAACGGGGCGTCAAGGTGCCAGGAGGGGGATTGCAGGCGAGGCTGGTAGTGGGGGTGGTGTAAGGAGTGGCAGTGGAGGGATGACATCTACTCCCTCCTGGTCCGAAATGCTTCACACCATTCTGCAGCGCGACGCTGCCAAGGTGCCTCAGCAGCTGCTGGCCTCTCCTGATCTAGAAAACACCGGGCTTCCTCTTTTGCTACTGCAGCAGCAGCAACAGCAGCAACGTGAGGCTGGAGGGAACGGAAGTGGGGCTACAAGTGAGGGTGGTGGCAGCAGTGGAGATGGGAACGCAGAGAAAGGACCAGGGGGGATAAGTCGGGTGCAGTCACGGAGGGTGGCAGTGGCGAGTGGCATGGATGTTCTAACAGGCACGCCCATTTCGGATGTAGGAGTGTCCGTGGGCAGAATCACAGTGCGACTGGACATGAGTGCCTCGTTGACAGAGTCGCATGGTTCCAGCAACAAGCGCAGCAAGGTTGCACAAGGAAGGGTGTCTGCTAACGCGGGAGCATCAGGACCCCACGTGATCACTCTTGAGGCTACTGGCTTGGACGTTCGGTGAGTGAGTGTGCTCGTGCCGTGCATCTTGCCTCCCACAATCCCATTGCAGTGAGGCTCTTCACTCATTGTCTGTTGTTGCCTCCTACTGTGCTAATGGTTCGTTCCCAATGTGTATGTGCATGCGCGTGCGTGCCTGCGCTTGTGTTGTGGTGTGAACGTGTGCGCATGTGGCATTGTGCCTCCGCCCCTCTACAGCCTGGTGCAGAGATTACTGGAGGAGCGCATCTATGCCACTCTCCACCGTCTCCAACTCACTGATTCCTCGCGACCCCCCTCCTGCCCCACCCACCACATCATCCAAACGCACCTCCCCCCCTCTCCAAATCCAACCCTGAATTCTCCTGCCCTAACCACGTCACACCCTCCCACAACCGCCCCCATGCCCCACTCCATCCTCTCCTCCCCTGCTCTCTCCTTCCAGCCTAACCCATCACCACGGCTCTGGCTCTCACCACAAATGCCTTCAGGTTTCTTTGACCAAACTGGCCCCTCCGCTCACCACACACTTGTTTCCCGCGTCCTTTCTGCTCCCTCCCTCCCCGCCTGCCTCTCCTTCTCCTCGCTGCCCATGCCTGCCATACCGACTTCTGGCCAGTCAGGGCCCTCCATGGGAACAGATCCGATTGGTGGAGCGCTGGGTGGTGCGGGCCAATCCTCAGCAGGAGATTCCGCCAGCACTTCTCATTGGCTGGGAGGCTTGGCTGGCGTATCTGCCCCAGCCACATCAGGAGCCACGGGAGGAGATGGGGCAAGAGCGGGGGAGTGTGTGTTGCGTGTTGAGTTGTGTCTGAAATCAAGGTCGCTGACTACCCCATCTCGTGACTCCACTTCCCTCTCCTTCCACCTCTCCTCCCTCCACCTCACCGCCTTCCAGCCCACCCTCCTCGCCCTACTCGCCTTCTCCTCCTCCCTCTCCACCCCAACTCCCCCATCCCCCTCCTCTGCCCTGCCGGGCAGCGGGGGCACCAAGAGGCAATACTCGCAGGGCAGGGAGGGGGGGAGTGGGCTCATAGGAACACACCCCTCTGCAGACCTCTCACTCTTCGAGAGCCCCCCTAGCTCCTTCTCCTCTGCTGCCTCCTCGCCCTTCAACTCTCCCCCACCCACTACTGACGTCCTGCTGTCGCCGGCAGTACTGGCTGCTGATGCACCGGTCAGGAGTCCACAGAGGTTGAGGGGGCGGGTAGGAGTGGGACGGCAGGGGATGGAGAGGCAGAGTGCACGGGCTGTTTTTGAAAAGGTGTCTGGAGATGATGTCACTGACGCTGCTGCTTCTGGTGGCGGTGTTGCCTCGCACGATGGTGGCACTGCCACTCAAACAAGTTCTTCTCTGCATCCTGCTCCCACCCACGGCCCATCCACTCACGTTGTTCTGCATGCTCCTGACAACTCAGGTGGGGGCGGCGCAAAACTGATTCTGGACGGCAGAGTAACTGGACTGGTGGTCCGGCTGATGGAGGAAAGGGACGAAGCAACACTTGAAGAACTGAAAGGAGGGGCAGAGGAGATTCATTTGATGGCAGGAAGGAAGGAAGGAGAGGGAAAGGGCCAAGTGGTGGAGGTGGCAACTGCTTCGCTGAGTGAGGCACTGGTGCAGGCTGATGTGAAGCATGTGATGGGCCAATCCCTGCCTGCCACGTGGGCATCCTGTGGACGCGTCAGTGGGTTTGAGGTATGGGGCCCTGTGGGTGATGGGGGCCGCTATGTTCCTCATCTCCCTGTAGATCCTGCCTCTACGCCCCCACCAAGCACTCTACAACTGCAGCAAGGGCAGCAGCAGCAGCAGCAGCAGCAGCAGCAGCAGCAGCAGAAGCAGGTGATAGTAGGCAGTGTGTGGGCACCGGGAGCACAACCCGGTGCCATAACCTTTGCAGCCCATGGCGCTCACATTGGGCCATCTGGGGAGGGTGTGACTGGGGCAGGCGCCATGCTGCATGTGGATGTGGCTGTTTCTCGTGTGCTGCTCGTGGTCTCACAGCCGTTCACACACAGGCTTGTGGAGCATGTCGCTCGCTACCTCCCTGCTCCCTCCCTCACTGCTACTGCAACCCACGGTGTTCCTAGGGAAAGTGGGCAGGCCGCATCAGTGTCACCCCTTGCACAGTGTAGTCTTGAAAGGGGGCAGCAGGAGCAGCAGTCACAGCACGCAAGTTTCACTACTGCTACTGCCACTAGCCCCTCACCCTCTCCCCATATCGCACTCCCTGCACGCACCCCTCTCTTTATGCCCGTCTCTTTCGATTCCCCGTCTCCATCCAGCCACCACACAGGAAAGCCCAGAGCAGCCCGCACTGCCATTGCTTCCCCTGCCACCACCCGTCTCTCCCCCTCCCCCTTACGAGGGGGGATTGCTGTTCGGGGGGTTGGGGGAGTGAAGCAGCTGAAAAGTGGAGGGTCAGGGGGATGGGCGGGTGGGGAGGGGCGGACCAGCGGGAGCAGCCAAACCAGCCCTCTGGGGGTGAAAGGCAAGGGGAAGCGAGAGAGGGGTGAGGGGGGGAGTGTGGGGGGGCTGGGGAGTGTTGGGGGGGCGGGGAGTGGGTCTGGGGAGGGCGACAGCTGGTCAGGGGCTCAGTTTTTCAGCCCTGTGGGGGACAGTCCCCTGAGATGGGGAGTGGTGGAGGAGGGGGGTGCGGTGGAGGGCGACGGGGAGGAGTGGGAGCAAGGGCAAGGGAGAATGAGAGTGGAGGGGACTGTGAGAGTAGAGGGGTGTGAGATTGCTGTCATTCCCTTACGACATCCTCAGAGCTTGCTCCAGCCTTCCACAGCCAGTCAGATTCAGCCACGTGGATCTAATGGGATCAAACCAGCAACAGTGTTGGGACAGTGGGTGGGCCATCCGTGCCTGATTATTGAGCTGCCTCTCATCACTGCCATCCTCCCACGCCACGTGGCATGCTGGGATTGGTCCTCATCTGGCACAATTACATGGCTTGATCGGAGGGAGCAGCATGGAACCAGTGGTATAGGCGGGGAAAGAAGCAGTGGGGAGGACGAGACAGGAAGAGGGAGCATGGTGGGGCAAGAAGGGAGCAACGAGGATGAGGAGTGGGAGGAGGTGGAGGTGAGGGTGGATGGATTCAGAGTGAGTATGGCCACAGGCAAGCTGCTGCCACTCCGTGAGGTGGTATCTGGTGGGGGCGCATGTGGTGCAGGGGAGGAGAACAAGGTGGCAGGGTGGGTGGGAGAGAGAGTGCCTGTGGTGCAGCGAGTGGATGTGCTGCTGCATGTGGCACTGCCACAGGCTGCTGGGGGCGGTCAGCCCGGTTCTGCACTGCAGGGTGCAGCACGAGGAGGAGTGGGTGTGGGGTCTGAGGCGGCATCGGGGATGGTGGAGTCGGGAGGAGGGGAGACAGCAGCCATGGGCAGCCCGCATGAGTGGATGCGAGTTATGGTTCAAGTGCCCACGGTCCAACTGCTCCTCATGGGTGTGTGTGCAGCGTGTGCCATAGTTAAGGATTCAGTTGTTTCATGGAATAATGCCAGTTCTGGATGCTAGGTATAAAACCCTAAAACAAACAGATTATATGCTCCTTTCGCTCAAATCTGAGCACCGGCTCTAATTTTTCTGTCCATTCCCTGTGTGTCTCCACTTTCTCTGCCGCAATCCCCCTTCCCTCCCAACCAGAGCATTCTCCTGTGAGAGAGGCGGACCTTCTATCCGGCTCCATCGCTGCCCTGCTCGCCCTCATCCCACCCCAGCCTCCACCCCAGCAGCCCTCCCCGCCCATCGCCCTGCGCTTGCACCTGCACCACCTGCACCTGCAAATCACACAAGGATGCGAAACTTCCCCATCCTCCCCTTCCACACCCGTTCTCGGCCTCGCACCCCCCTGCTTCCTCCTCGCCCCCGGCCCTCTCATTGCCCTCCTCTCCATCGATCATCTGCGCTGCGCTGCAGCACTGCAGCCATCTGGCCAATCTGTGAAGGCCACGTGGCAGAGTATTGCCCTTTGGGGCTTACAGGCAGGGGCGCCGGGCGCTTCCCAACAGCATGGCAGTGCCACTACGGCCTCAGCCAGCAGCCAGGCAACGCCACCACCTGCTTTTTCACAGGGAGAAACGACAGCAGCAGCAGAAGCAGCACAGGAAGCACCTGGAGAAGCAGCTGCAGGAGGGCTATCAGAAGAAATTCCAACAGCAGTGCTGGAATTTCTACAAGTGGCTGTGCCTCTTTTCGTGATCGAGCGTGAAAGGTTCAGTTCAGTGACTCGTGACCCTGTTCATACCCACCTGTCTCCGTACCTCGCCTTCTCCCTCTCCTCCACCTCAACCCCAGCCTCACCCCCTTGCGCTCCCGCCACTGCTGCGTCCCTCTCCCTTGCCTCCTCTCCACCCCCCTCACAGGCCCCACATCCCGTTCCCCACCCTCTGGCAAGCCCCTCACTGCTATCCCAAGAACCGCTTTCCACCCCAGTGAACGCAGCAGCCCCAGCAGCAGCAGCACCAGCACAAAGACGCCATGACACCCAGACTATACATGCAACTGTTCAGCTCCCTTCCCCCACTCTCTGGGCCTTCCTCCCTGCCTGGTCTCTCCTCGCTTCCCTGCTTGCTGCTAAGGCACCTAAAGGAGGCGACACAGGAGGTGCAGAGGTGGCAGGGGGTCAGCGTGCAAGAGGCAGTAATGGATCAGGCGTAAGGGAGGGGCAGGGGATTGGAAGGAGAGGTGTGATGGGAGGTGGGGGAGCTGAGGGGCTGACAGGGATGATGGGTGTGAGGCTGGGTGCGGCTGGTGGTAGTGGAGGGCATGGTGATATTGAGGGGCTGCTGTGCGCGTCTCTTGAGGAGGGGGCGAGTGGGGAAGCAGAGGGGGAAGGAATTGGCGTCTTGGTTGGTGAAATTGGCACAGGCAGTGATGGTGGTAATGCAGCAGCAGTAGCAGTGGCAGAAGAACCAGCAGCGCGTGTGCATGTGAAGGTGCATGCAGGTGTGAAGGTTGATGGGCTCACTCTCATACTTCCCAGTCACAGCACCTCCCAGCGCACCCAGGGTGCCTCGCAGCACACCTCTCCTCCCTCTGCTCCTCACGCCCGCCCACATCAGGCGGCAGAGCAGCAGAGGGGTGCAGAGGAATGGGGTAGCAACAGGGATGGGTGCAGTGCGGTGGTGGTGCGTGTGAGGGCTGTGCACTCCCACATGCAGGCTTCAGTGTCTGCCGATACCAGTCTCAGCAGAGCCGCTCTCTCTGCTGGTCTGCACTCTGTGGACTTGGCCTGTGTGCGCCGCCTTGGCTTGGAGCACACTGGGGTGGGCAGTGGTGGCACTGAAAACCTGGTCACATCCGACCCTCTTCATCTCCCTCCTGCCTCCCTCAATGCTGCTTCCCTACCATCAAGCTCCAGCCCCTTCTCCCTCCGCCTTAGCTGCTTCCTGCCTCCTCCTGCAGATTCTCCCCCACCTGGCCCTGCCCCTGCCTCTGCATCTGCCTCCACCGCATCCAACCCACCATCTGTTCGCCTTCCACCTCCCCCTCCCGCCTCAATGCGCCTGCTGCAGCTGGCAGGGCTGCAGCTGCGACTGGCAGCAGCCGCTGCTCCCTCAGGAAGCAAAACAGTGCCGGGGGTAGAGGTTCTTGATGGTAGTGCTGGAGGAGTGGAGGGAGAGGGGGATGGCAGGTCAGGCAGAGTGAGGGAAGATGGATTTTTGGCAACCGAGAAAACCGCAGAGGTTTCACGTGAAAATGACAGCACTGTTTCTGGTCGTGGTGTTGGCGGTCGCAGCAGCACACTTGGCATGATCTGCCTAAAAGATCTAGTGGAGCTGGAGAGAAGGGCGCAGGAGAACATAGGAGAAAACAGAGAGGGCAGCTTCGGCCCTGAGGGGCACAGTGATGAGAGACACACTCCAGCAGCACCACCACCAGAACCTGCATCCTCAGCTGCAGCAGCCTCTGGTAGCTTGGGCGCGTCTCCCTTCACCCCGCATGCTACATTTGCATTCGCCAGTCACGTATCACTGGGCCGAGTGCACGCACGCTGCTCGCCTGAAAGTCTGCACTTTCTCTCAAGATTTCAGGTGCCATGGCAGGCTGCATCTGGACAGGCTCCATCCATCCAAGGCAGCGGCAATGGCACAGCACTGCAGAGGAGACAGCAGGAAAGTGCAGCACTTCAGAGCAGCAGCAAGGAGGGCGGCAGCAGCAACGGCAGAAGAAGCAGCGGCAGCACAGTGTGCGATGCGTTGGTGGTTGTGAGCGTGGAGAGTTTGGTGGCAGTGGTGGCGGAGAGTGAGGAGGAGGAGAGTGAGCCTCTCTTTCACCTCTCTCTCAGCGCCACAGCAGGCCACGCCCTCGCATGCCTGCCTAGCGGCCACCTGCACGCCTCTCTTGCTACCACTCTCGCTTTGTACTATCTCAATCAGGACAAGGTAGGTGGTGACTGTGAGACGGAGCTCACAGCAGTAGTGGATAGGACAGCATCAACACAGCAGTGAGCCTTATCTGGCTGAAAATCTCTGCTTCCACCGTATTCCTCCCTATGGCCCTCCTGTTCACTTCGCCGTGCATCACATTGAGTTTTCGTCTCCCTGCTCGTCTCCATTCCACCTGCCTTATAACCTTCGTGTGCTTACCATCTCCGCACTCCCTCCCGCCCGCCCTTGTCCTCCTCACCCCGCTCCCAGGCTGCCTCCGAGCCTGTCTGTGAGCCGTGGCCGTTCCAGCTCTCTGCCTCCTTGCACTCCCTCTCCTCCCTCACCAACCCTCAATCTGCATCCGCTTCCATCCTCCCTCCCCCCCTCCCATCCTCTCCCGCCTCCCCGTCCACCGCCCTCACCTCCCTGGCTCTCACCTCCTCGCATCCTCTCAATCTCAACTTCACGCCATCTCTCCTCGAGGTAGCGTGTGCCTCATCTCCCCTCTAACACCCTCCTCTGCTCTGCTCTGCTCTGCCCGGACACATTGATCTCCCTCGCCTACCCTGGGCAAGCCCTCGTGATTGATGTTGCTTTCTTCTCATTCATCTTTACTTTGATATTCCACATTGTATTCACTGCCGTCCACCCTCTCCTCTCCCATGACTGCAGGCAGCATGCATCGCCGCCTCACTCTTTTCCAACCCTCAGGTGCTTAAGCTCGCTCATGCACCTGTGCGAATGCATGGCCCAACCCAGAGCATCATGGCGCCTGCTTATGTGTTTCCCACCCCCACCACCTCCAGTTCTGCACTGATGTTATGTTGTCAGCCCTTTGCATCCGTGGTTTTACCACCCAATTTGTCACCATGGAACTCTCGCTGCTGGTGCTCTTTCCATCCCTTTGTCCCCGCTTTGTGCTGCCTTGTGCCTTCGTTTTAGTGGGTTGTCCTTCACCTGCATCCTGTGTATCCTGCCTCGTCCCCCTCTTTCTCATCTTCTCAGGCTCAGCATGTGTCATCGCACTATTGGGTGGAAAATTATACCGGCGTGACTTTGCACCTCTGGTTTAGTGAGGACTTTTCAGACTCTAGATTCGCAGCACCAACATCATCATCAGCATCAGTATCAGCATCAGCATCAGCAGCAACCCTTCCTCCCACCACCCCACCGCACATCACAGTGCCTGTTGGTGCCTGCTTGCCACTCTCCCTCTCCTCTCGCCTCCCTCCTCGCTCTCGCTCTCTCTCTCATTCCTCAAGAATCCCCCAGGCACAGGCAGGCAGCCATGGCAGGAGCAGCAGCAGAGGGAGGACAACGAGCCTCACAGGCAGCACCGCAGCAGCAGGAGTGGCAGGCCGGCAGTTGTGGGTGCGAGTGGGAGTGGGCGGCAGTGAGTCAGTCTGCCGCCCGCTTCTGCTCGAAGGCGGCACGCGGCTGGCATTCCCTGTCTCATACATAGCAGGGGGGAGCAGACATGAACGGGAAAGGGGAGCCGAGGGCATGGCTTTGCAAGGGCTCAGAATGGGGTGGGGAGAGGAGGGGGCGACAGGGGTGGGCTTGCAAGGGGTGGCGGCAGTGGATGGGGGGGCAGCACGAGTGCATGGGACAGTGATGCTGGAGGTGGTGCGGGAGGGGCGCAAGCACCGCCTTGTTCTGCGCTCACTAGTCTCAATCGTCAATACCTCGCACACGCCACTGCTGCTGCAGGCCCACCACAGCCACCGCCCTGACCTGCCTGTGGAAGATGTGGGGGTGTGTGGCGCCAAGAGCACCCTGCACCTGCCACTGCACCTCACCTCGTCCACCTCTCTCCGCTGGAGACCAGTCCAGGGGCCGTGGGCGTGGAGTGAGGAGACTAGGCTTGATGATGCTCTGCTGGCCCCGGATGCTGCCACTGTCACTTGCACTGCCACCAGTGGCATGGACACCAGCAGTAGCAACAGCAGCATGAGTGCGATCACCAGCACAAGTAGTAGCGGCGGTGGCAGTGGTGGCGCTGTTGGCGTGGCACCCTTGCTGACCCGCTCTGCATCGTTGTCGTCCATCTCCACTCCCGGCATTGCTGCCTCCCTTGACCTGCTTCCACCCTCCCTCTTCTGCCTCTCCCTCACCGCCTCCCAATCGCCTCTGCCTCTCAGGTACTGCTCTTCGCCTCGGCCCTGATAACCTAAATCCTCCCTTGCTCCTCTCTTGCTTGTGCTGTAGCGCCAACTCATCAACGTCCTTTCTCGTTAAGACTTCATCGCTCCTTTGCTCCTATTAATTTGCTTGGCCAATTCTGTCTCCCCTCCCTCTCCCCTTTCTCTGCATTTCTGCCTTCTCACCTTCAGCTTACCACCCGTGGCACCCTCGCATTGCCCCATTCCCCGAACACCTGTCACCAGCCCACCCCATGGGGCCACCGCTGCTGCCCACCGCTGCTACTCGCCTCCCCTCACCACCACCACCCGCTCCCATCCCAGCAGCCCCCCTCTCACCCTCCGCCGTGTTTCGTCCTCTAGTGCTGATGCTGTCGCCATTGCCGCAGCTGCTGCAGCCCAAGCTGCTGCTCTGCTGGCCAATCCGCACCTCCCTGCTCCTACTGCCACGTCAGCAGGCAGTGCCAGCGTGGCAACAGCAAGCCATGGCGCCACATCACCCCCAACCACGAGCCCCTCTTACCCTCTCTCCAGGACCGGCAGTGCTGTCAGCATCGGCTGTGTTTCTCCCGTGCTCGCCTCCTCTGCTGCACCTATGGATGGTCGAAGGGCAGGAGGCAGGAGACACAGCAGAGGAGGGAGTGATGCATGGTGGATGGTGGGTGGGGAGGGAGAAGTGGAGAGGAGGGAGAGGAGGGAGAGCGGAGGAGGAGGAAGAGGAGAGGCGGGTGAGGCAATGGAAGAGGGCATGGCGTGGGAGCAGCAGCTGTGTCTTGCAGCGCCTCTTGTGTTGAAGAACCTTCTGCTTGTCCCGGTTACGGTCACGCTGATCTGCACGGACCAGCACGTTCTGCTGCCAACCACCATCCACGTTCCTCCTGTGAGCTGCCTTTTCTTGCTTGCGCGCCGCTGTATCCACAGGTCCGCTTCCCTTCCCGGTTCCCACAGTAAGCTCCCTGTGTTGCTCCTTCTGTACCCTTGCTTTGCACCCTCTGTACTGTTGTGGGTTGGTTGTACTGCTCATTTGTCCGATGGAATGAGCTGCTGTCTTGTTTTGCTCTGTTGCCCCCCTCCCCTCCTGCACAGGGCTCGTCTGTGGAGGTGTTTGACTTCCCCGCCCACCACACCCTGCATGCCACGCTGCTCGTCCCTGGCTTTCTAGAGTCTCCGCCTCTGCTGCTGCCCGCGCCGCCTGCTGCCAGCACCAACGGCGGGCGGCAAGGGGGGCAAAAGAAGAGGGGATGGAGGGGAAAAGATGGGGAGGAGGGACAGGACAGGCAGGGGGAAGAGTGGCAACAGCACGAGGAGGAGGAGGTGCTGCTCACTCGCGTCACAGGTGGGTGCCGTTAAGTAGTGGGGGCGCTAAGTGGTGGCCGCTAAGTGGGGGGGCCGCTAAGTGGGGGGGTGGTCCACGAGCGCGCCTTGGTCCACGAGCGCGCCTTGGTCCACGAGCGCGCCTTGGTCCACGAGCGCGCCTTGGTCCACGAGCGCGCCTTGGTCCACGAGCGCGCCTTGGCCCCGCGCGCGATTAAAATCATTCAATTTTCGCGCACTCCTTTCCAGGCTGCAGCCATGACTTGTGCCTTCTACCGGCACCCAGTCATATCTGCCACTCATTCGTTTCTACCCTGTGCCGTGTTTCTCACCTCCCTGCCTCCCATCAGGTCCCCCCGTGCCCCTGCACCTGATCCACCTGCACCGCCCTGCCTCCGCCTCCCGCTGTCTGCACCTACTAGCCCCTTTCACCATCGTCAACGCCACCGACCTCCCTCTCTGCCTCTCCGACGCGCACCTCCACACCTCGCCCTCCTCCCACCTCTTCCTCCCCCCGCACCCCGCCCTTCTCACAAGCGACAGCCTGGCAGCTGCCACGTCAGCGTCTCTTCCGACCGCGTTGATGGCGAGCGGTGTGCCGCTTGTGCCAGCTGGCAGCGCAGCAGCGGGCGGTGGGGTGGGAGGGTTGGCGGCGGTGCTTCCTGGGATGAGCCAAGGAATGAGCGCTGCTGCTGGTGGCTCTGATACCAGGCCAGACTCACACGTTCCTGCAGCCACAAACGTGGGAGCTGCAGTAAAGGGTACAGGAACGAGAAGCGAGGGCAGAGAAGGAGGGAGAGAGGAGATAAGCCAGGGGGGAGGAGCAGCGCTGCAACCCCCTATGGCCCTGTTTACTCCTGCCCCACCTGCACCTGCTCTTGATGCTGACTCTGCTGCTTCTGGCGCCACTGCAGGGCTTCACCCCACCCAGCCAGCACTCGTGCTGCGAGTGGGGGGCACTGCTGCTGCTGCTGCTGCTGCTACAGCTGCGGGTCTAGGTGGTGCTGGGGGCATGCGCTCTCTCAATGCCTCTCCGCCTTCCACTGTGCCGGACTGGAGCCATGTGACGCTCTCTGGTTGGTCGGCAGCTATCCCAGTGGAGCCAGCAGGGGGAGTGGCAGAGGTGCTAATTCCGCAGCATGCAGGGAATAGCAGTGGTGGTGGCAGCGGTGCTGGTGGTGGTGCAGGTGGTGGTGGTGGAGGTGCCTTTGCACTGAGTCTCACATGCTGTGACACCCTCGGTGCCTCTGCTGGTCGCGCCAAGACCATCACCCTTCGCCCTCGGTCTGTACCCCGTGCCGTGCTATTTTAATGTCCTTTCTGCCAATGCCATTATTCTTGGTGCTTCATGAGTCACTTCTGACAGCGCTCTGTCATTTGACCTTGTAACTGCCTCCCCATCTCCTTCTCAACTCGTCCTGTTGCCTCTTTTCCGTGTTCTTTCCTGCACCCCTGCCACTCCCATTCACTTGGCCAGGTACGTGCTAGCTAACAGTCTCTCGGCGGACATAAGGGTGAAGCAGCACGGCACGGACCGACACATTCTCATCAAGGCTGGAGGCAACGCACCCATTCACTTCACCAAGCTGCAGCGGTAACACCAACAGCACTCACTGGTTCCTTGTAATGCTCACGGGTTACAGTGCAACTAAACTCACGCGCCATGAGTTACTCTGCCTGTTATCTCTCGGTGCCTTCCGCCCCTCTCAGCTTGGCGACACCCAGCTCAAGCTGCGCTGCTCCCCCTCCCCCTTCCCCCCTTGCCCTTTCTTCTTGCCCTTCCCCCCCCCATGCAGTCGCCTCTACCTGTCTCTGCGCCTGGCTGACAGCAGCTGCGAGTGGTCGACACTCAGCTCAAGCTGCGCTGCTCCCCTACCCCTCCTTCTTTCCCACCCCGCGCTCCCCTCCCCCACCCCCCTCACACAGTCGCCTCTACCTGTCACTGCGTCTGGCTGACAGCAGCTGCGAGTGGTCCGGTGCCTTCCGCCCCTCCCAGCTTGGTGACACTCAGCTCAAGCTGCGCTGCTCCTCCCCCTCCTCTTCGCCCTCCTCACCCCTCGCCCTCACTCGCATTGTGAGGGTCGACGTGTCACTCGCCGAACCCCACCTGCCACACGCCTCTGCTGCCGCTGCGCCCACGCATGCAGCCGCTGCTGCTGCTGCCGACGCTGCTGCCAGTGTTGCGACAAACGCCAGTGGAAGCAGCAGCAGCAGTGGTGGAATCACTGGGGGCACTGAGGCAGAGGGGGTTGGCAGCAGTGGTGGCAGCAGCCGGGGCGGTGAGGGCAGCGCTGGCAAGTGGAGTGGGGGAGGGACGTACCTGGTGGTGATTGGGGAGGACGACTCGGGATTCATGCCCTTCCGCATTGACAACTGCTCCCGAGAGGTGAGCACATGCAGGGGGCATGTAGGGGAAAGAGCACATGGAATAGATCGCTGGGATGGGCAGCCCGCCAGCCACCAGCCCGCCAGCCAAGTGGAGTGGGGGAGGCACGTACCTGGTGGTGATTGGGGAGGATGACTCAGGCTTCATGCCCTTCCGTATTGATAACTGCTCCCGGTGAGTACACGTGGGGGGCAGACAGGGGGGAAGAGTTCAGTGTGTAACTCTCAGAAACAGAGGTAGCGAGGGCAGAGGCAAGTGGAGTGGGGGAGGCACTTACCTGGTGGTGGTTGGGGAGGATGACTCGGGCTTCATGCCCTTCCGCATCGATAACTGCTCCCGTGAGGTGAGCACATGCAGGGGGTATGCTTTCGAGTCGACTCAAAAGCAGGGGGCATGCAGGGTAGGGGGGGTGGACGCTCAAGTATCTCTGAGCAGAGGATTGACTAAGAAACCCCCCCTTTCCACCTCCCACATGTGAGGTGAGCACATGCAGGGGGCATGTAGGGTAGGGGGGACGGACGCACAGGTAGCTTTGAGCAAAGTATTGACTAAGAGACCCCCCCTTTCCCCTCCCCACTCCCACCCTGCCCCCAGGTGCTGCGGTTCTACCAGCGCGGGTGTGAGGGGCTGGGCCACACCGACTCCCTCAAGCCCTTTGCCGCCACGCCCTACGCATGGGACGAGCCCTGCCGCCCACACCGCCTCGTGCTTGAGGTCAGAATGGACAGGACTGTCAAGTGCCTAGCGCATGATGCACGCTCGCTCCTATGGTTGCTTCTGCATTGTTCCTTGGCGGCCCTGCCTTGTGGTATCGTGCCCTCTCGCTCCCCCTTCTCTGCCAGCCTTGCTCTCACATCGCATGATGGCTGTGCTGTCAACGACATGATGCCTCCTCGCCCTGGTTGTGGCAATACGTTGGCATGCCATCTCATCATGGCTAAATGGGACGGCATCACGGGTGTGACATGGTTGCATGCCATGGCATGTGTGCCATGGGTGTATGCATGACATGCATGTTATGGGGGCATGGCATGTGCTGCCATAACATGTGACAGGTACCAGGCGAGGGGGGCAGCATGGGTCATTTCCCCTTGGACCAAGTCAAGCACTTCCCGCTTGTCGTCCTCCCTGCTACCCCTCAGGTATGAGGCATGAGAGGCCCCTCAAATACGCGGTTTTCTTTCTTTGTTTCATTTGTTCCTTTCTTCGACCCTTCACATCCTTCCACCTGCGGAACCATCGTTTGTCACAAGCACACACGCACGATGCATTGCTCACCATTCTCAAATTGCACCAAGTTGCACTCTATCTTCAAACTATTGCACGGAATTGCACTCAACCCCAACCATTCCCCAACGTATCATTCCCCTACCTCATCCTCTGCCTCCGGCCGGCTGTCCTCCCTTTCCCTGCCTTGCCTCCCATTCCCCTCCTCAACTCTTAATGTCTCCCCGCATCACTCACAGAGAGAGCAGCGGCGCTTGAGAGTATCTGTATCAGCACAAGGACCAATCAGGGTACGGACACCAGTACTGGTTCGTCTGTTCCTTGTAATAGTTTAGTTTTGCTGGTGGACTAGAGGCATTCGTCTGGGCATCATGCAAACGCCATCACTCCACCCCACTGCGTTCTCACCTGTGTGCATCCCCTCCTTCCACTCGGTCTGCCCTCTTTTTGAGAGTTCTCAAAAACCACTCGGTCTGCCCTCTTACCTTCCCCTCTTTTGTCTCTGTTCCCCCAACCCCACACTACCGCAGGTCCTCTCTGTGTGTGACATCGACCTCTTTCCTCCAACCTCTGGTCTGCCGGCCAACCCTTTCCCTCACTTCTGTGTTTCCCTCACCCTAACCAGGTCCTCTCTGTGTGTGACATCGACCTCTTTCCTCCACCCTCCTCCTTCCCCCCACTCCACCTCAAGTACTCCTCCATGCCACGTCACGCTGAGCTGTCATCCAGTCAGCACCACCAATCGTGGAGTCTCTCCTCCAAATCCCCCTCTGTCTCCCAGTCTTCCTCCTCCTCTCTTCGCGAACTACTCCTGAGTGTGCGCATCCCCCTTATAGCACTCTCCGTTATAGACAATCGCCCTCAGGAGCTGCTTCTTCTCTCCCTGCACCGCCTCTCCATCTCCCTCTCCCGCTCCGCCCACCAACACTCCCTCTCCTTCCTCCTCTCCCACCTACAACTCGACAACCAACTCCCCAATGCCCTCTTCCCCATCCTCCTCGCCTCCTCCTCCCCTCCTCCTCTCTCCCTCCCTCACTCCACACCACCACCCTTCCCTTCTCCATCACCCTCCCCGTTCTCCATGCTCCACCCATCCCACACCTCACCAAGCCTCGCGCTATTACAAGCCGCTATCCAAGCCCCCTCTCTGCTGCTCTCCTCAGTTCTCCACCACACCGCCGAACAGCATCAAGTATTTTCCCACACTAATCTGCATGCACCTGCCCAAGACAGCCTGCACGGAAAGGGGCAAGCGGCGGTGGCGGCTGAGGTGGTGGCGTGGCGGCAGAGAGTGGGCTCCGTGCTGTGTGTGGAGAGCATGAGGGTCGGGTGAGTACTGGCTGTGGGGAGGTGGTGGCAGGTGGGGGAATGCTGGCAGGGGGGGGGATTGCCGGCGGTGATAGCAGAGGTGGTGGCGTGGTGGCAGAGAGTGGGCTCCGTGCTGTGTGTGGAGAGCATGAGGGTCGGGTGAGTGCAATGGGTGCTGGCTGTGGGGGGGAAGCTGGCAAGGGGGGTGGGTGCTGCCATCGCAAACCATGACATGTATTTCTTGTCCCCCATCTTCATTCCCGCTTTTATTTTTATCATCGAGCCTCTCGCAACCACTTTCTCTATGTGTGACTTCCCTCCTGTTCCCACCCCTCCCTCCCCCAGCCTCGCCCCTCTCTATCCCTGAAACTCGAGGAGCATCTGCTGCTGCGCCTGCTCGACTTCTGAGATGCCTCAAAACTCAACGAACGGCACTCAACCGCATCCTTTGTGTGTGTCTTCTATTTTTGCCCCACCCTCCAGCCTCGCCCCTCTGTCTCTGGAGCTCGAGGAGCATCTGCTGCTGCGACTGCTCGACTTCTCCCGCACCTGCATCGCTGCTCTCTCCGCCCTCGGCTCCCCCTCGCCCCCACCTCCGCCCCATACCTCCCCTCTTGCGTCCAGCAGCAAGGCTGTGGGGAGAGGCGGAGCCGGGAACGCTGGCGGGGGAAGGGGCCAGGGACGGGAGGAGGGGAGGAGGGCAGCTGGAGCACAAGCAGGGAGGGGAGCTGGAGATAAGGGGGAGGAGGAGGAGGGACGGCAGCAGGGGCAGGAGCAGATGCGGCGAGTGTACGTCTGGTGCAGTGGCGCATCAGTGGCAGCAGTGGGGGTGGTGGGCGGCCAGGGCATGAACACATCCCCGCACATTCCAGGCACAGCCAACATGTACATAGAAACCATGGCCATCCTCCCCATCCACATCACCATCAGCTTCGCCAGTGCACCATGGGCCGCGGAGCAGAGCAGGGGGGCAGCAGCGCAGGGGGTGCTGGGGGCACTGGGGGCGGTGGTGCAGAGGAGTGTGCTGTCGCTGGCGGACGTGCAGGGAGCGCCGCTGGGGCTGTCCGCGTGGCAGCTGGAGCACTTCTTTGGCGGCCCGGCGTCTCTGGGAGCAAGGCTTGAGCGACACTACACGCTGCAGCTGCTGCAGGCGCTCTACAAGGTGAGACTGCTACAAGGCTTTCCACCTTGCCGCTCCTCCCCGTGAGTGAGGACCTGTGCTGTGGGAGCTTACCTCACATTCGAGCAAGGCTTGAGCGGCACTACACGCTGCAGCTGCTGCAGGCGATCCACAATTTACGACTTGGGAGATAGCTCTACAAGGTAGTAACACTGCTGAGAAGGCTGTGGAATGTGGCACCACTGCCACGGCTGAATGCTGCGGCTTTACAAAGGAAGACAGGTTCCAAGTTCCAACCTTTTCCCTCACCGTGCCCCTGCGTCCATTCATTTGCCCTGCCTGCTTTGCCCTGCCGGCAGGTGGTGGGGTCAGCGGACTTCCTGGGCAACCCAGTGGGGCTGCTCTCGTCCCTCTCTAGTGCTCTGCTGTCCCTTCCATCTCCACACATAGCCACCATTCACCCGTAAACCTGCGTCCACTTATTTCCCTGCCGGCAGGTGGTGGGGTCAGCGGACTTCCTGGGCAACCCAGTGGGGCTGCTCTCGTCCCTCTCCGCCAGCCTCTGGGACCTGCTCGCCTCGCCCACCCACACGCTGCTCATGCGCCGGGTACCACACCTCTGTCCCGTCTCCTGCCCAAATCCTGCCCTTGCCTTTCTCCTGCTCGCCTCGCCCACCCACACGCTGCTCATGCGCCGGGTACCACACCTCTGTCCCGTCTCCTGCCCAAATCCTGCCCTTGCCTTTCTCCTGCTCGCCTCGCCCACCCACACGCTGCTCATGCGCCGGGTACCACACCTCTGCCACTTCTCCTGCTCCTTCATGCTCTTGCCCTGCCCTTGTCCTGTATTCTTCCTGCCTTACTCGCTTAGATCCTTGCGGACACCAGAATTTTCCCACCTTTCCTTCCAACTGCATTCGCCCCTCAAATGCCCATCACCATGCCTCCACACTGCTCCCTCATTTCTGCCCGTCCACAACCCTGAACCTTTGTTCCCTTCCACCTGAATCCCGCCGCATGTTTCATCCGTTGCTCTGCAGAACCCAGCAGGGTTCGCCAAGGGGGTGTGGGCGGGGTGGACGAGCCTGCTGCGCACCACCCTCTTCGCCCTCTCGCACTCCCCCTTTCCAGTCAGCTCATAAACCCTCTCCGCATTTCTTCCTGTCATTGCTCTGCAGAACCCAGCAGGGTTCGCCAAGGGCGTGTGGGCGGGGTGGACGAGTCTTCTGCGTACCACCCTCTTTGCTCTCTCGCACTCTGCCTCGCGCATGTCGCATGCCGCGTCCAAGGTGGGATTCTGCCGTTCAATGTCTGTCAGGTTACTTTGTCGCACGGATTTGCTACTGCGCCATCCTCCCACCATCTTCGCATCCTTCCATCTTCTTGGTTCTCTTTCCTGTTTCCTGTGGCTCAATATTCAACGGAATGGCAGGGGATGGCATCGTTGGCATGGGATGAGGAGAACGAGGAGGTCTTGGAGCGGGCAGGCCAGGCATGGGCCCCACACGCCTCAGACGAAGCCTCCTTCTTCGCCTCTCTCATTCAGGTGCCGCCCCATGCTGCTCCCATCACTGCTTCTCTTAGCATTGTCTAGGGAGACATTACGCACGCACCTAACTAGCATTTCTTACCCACCGCTCATTACTCACTCTCCTATTTGGCATCCCATGTGCCTCGCGCCATCCCATTGGCAGGGTGTGACGGGCCTCTTGGACCGTCCAATCAGGGGATGGGAGAGGGGCGGTCTCCCGGGGCTTGCATCCGGTGAGATCTCTTGCTTGGCACACCGGCTTTGCACTGCACTACACCCCAGTGCACCACATTGCAACCCAGTGCACCACACTGTGCTGTATTCCACTGAAAGGCTCTGAACGCCCTCAGTTCTGCCAGCCTAGTCGTTTGCATGCGTGGCGTTTCTACTGCAAATGGTCGCATGATATGTGTTCCACATAAGATGGCACCCTTGCGACGAGCCACTGTTCTTTTCCTCCCGTGCAAATGCCCTTTTTCCCCTCTCCCCCCTATCCCCACACTTCTCTCCCCTTGCAGGCTTGACACAGGGAGTGCTGGGGGTGGTGGCACGACCAGCAGCATCGGCACTGGCGCTGGCAGCAAAAACAGCAGAGAGCATCCGCAACGTGGCCCGCCCTCCCGGCCCCTCCCACGCTCTGCACCCGCTGCGCCTGCCGCGGCAGCTGAGCCCTGCCCGCCCCCTCGCCCCTTACTGCCACTCCCAAGCTGCTGCCCAGGCTGCCCTGGCTGAGGCTGCAGGGGGGGCGTGGCGCGATGAGGTGAGGGAGAGTGGGTTCATGCTTGGGCTGATTGGTGGGGAGGATGGGAAGGAATGAGGGAGGGAGGGAAGGCAGGGAAAGGGTGTGGAGACATATGATTCACAGGCCATGATCTTGCATGCTGACTAGTTTTGTAGCCAGCCGACCATCAGAAGAGTTGGTGACCAGCGCGTCCCATGGCGACCACCAGAACGTAGGATGTATTCTCTGCCTTCCGTTCTGAGATTCTCTGCCTTCCGTTCTGAGATTCTCTGCCTTTCGTTCTGAGATTCTCTGCCTTTCGTTCTGAGATTCTCTGCCTTTCGTTCTGAGATTCTCTGCCTCAGAAGTTGAGGTGTGATTCATTTCTTCCTTTCCTTTTCCCTTCCTCGCATGCATGCAGGACGCCCTGGCTTGCTTCCAAGTGATCCCTGCGCCACCAGCACCAGCATTAGCAGCAGCATTAGCACCAGTATTGCCTGGCTCGTTAGGGGCACCAGAGGAGGCATTCGTTATAGTCACACCGTCACACATGCTGCACGTGTGGAGAGTGGCAGCAGCGGGGCGGCACGGTAGGAGCCAGAGGGCCAGCCAATGGCAGGTGGCGTGGGCGGTGCCTCTGAGGGACGTGATTGGCTGCTGCAGCATGCAGCCCGATGACTCACATGTGCAGCGTGGAAGTGAGGAGAGAGCAGATGCGAGCGAGCATGCAGCACGTGGGAGTGAGCATAGGGAACATGTGATACAGGCAGCGGATGCAGCAGAAGAGAGCAAGGCATTGATGCAGCACGCATCAACACCACACCGTGCTGCCTACACACCTCCTGCCACTGATGCCGCCGCCCTCCCACCTGCTCTTGCTGCGATTCAAGCTCAGCCCAAAATGCAGACCACGACACCGCCGCCCGCCACTGTGGACGGGGGGGGCAGTGAGGCTCACTCTGCGACTGTGGACAACAGTGAAGCCTCGACAGTTGTTGGTGAGTGACGCCCCATCAGTCCCTTTGAGAGCCAATTTGTGTGTCCGTTTCCATCTCGTGTCGGTCTGCTTGCATAGGTGTAAATCCAACTCCCAACCGCCTTGTCTGATGGTCTGTCATTCACTATTCGTGAGCGATGGGCTACGGCTCATTTGTCCGGTGCCTGATTGTATGCTCCCCTCTGCTGCGCGCCCCGGTGGCATTCAGTAATGGAGCTTCCAGCCGAAGGCACGGGGTTGGCTTCACTGCATGGACTTACCCTCCAGCTCTCCACAGCTCAGGAAGCTCAAGAATTTGTTCAGCTTGTGAAGGCCATTGGTGCTAAAGGTCAGAACACCCGGATCAAGTTGTGATTTGATTGCATGTGCAGGCAGGGATGCAGTTAGTGTAGTCCACTTAGAGTTGTCTTTATCTACAAGCACTTCAAGTCATAAACCTTGTATCACGAGGCATCCTATACGGAGCGTCGAACTGCCGTTGACGAAAGCAGACTCGTAAAATCAAAGGCAGAATCTCTACTTCCTCGAATCTTGGTGCCAGCGCGAATGCCCGTGCAATCGGAAGCATCCAGCGTGGCCGCACTTTCACCCCGTCCAGGCAAAAGAGTGTGCACCACGTCAGGCTGCGGAGTCTGCGGAAGTTTTGCCACGTCAGTAGGGATCTCGCACCTCCACTTGCCTCAACTTTCCTTTGCTCTGAACCAACTCCCAAGGCAACCAGTTCTGCTCTGCTCCCTCCCCTCCCCACCATTCCTCCTCACCACCAGCAGCGCAACAGTTGCGCAGAGAGCGCCACGCAGCAGCAGAAGCGCAACAGTAGCGTTTCTTGGGATTGCTTCACCCCAGACGACCTCGAGGCTGAAGCTCGGCCGTTTCACGGAACGCATCCGCCGCATATCTCCTGCCTTCCACCCTCCCACGCACGCCCTAGCCATTCCCATCCTCCATCCCATCCACCTTCCAAGATCAGCCCTTGTCATCGCCGTCGCACCTACCAGTATCGATCTAGACCGAGCATCTGCTGACTGTCTCCGTTCGCCATGGCTCGAGGAAAGGCGGCGCAGCTCATCATGTCCCGAGGCCATCTTCTCTTCCCGCAGGTGCGTTTCATGGAAGCTTCCGTTCTTCGATATAGAAATTCTGTTGTTGCATTTATGGAAACGGAGGAAAACGAAGAGAATGGAAATTGAATGGAGTAAAGCGGGTCGGATCTTTGTGCGAGCGGATCTTTCTGGTTGTTAATGTGAGCTCGTTCTTCTCATCCCCCTGACATCAGGCGCGCCGTGCGGCCGCCGCGGCGTGCAGGGTGGACGCGCTGGTTCCCGCAGCGGCGGGAGCAGCAGCTCCGCGCGGCAGCGGGCGGCTGTTCAGCTCGTCGAGCTCCGCGCCGCCCGCGGACGGCGAGGCGCCGAAGCAGGAGCTCACGCCGGTGCAGGCGGAGTGGGCGAAGCGCGCGTCCAAGGAGATCAAGGGCGGTGACCCGTTCGAGGAGCTCAAGACGCTCTCGCCCGAGGTCAGGCCGCGCGCCCTCTGTCGCCGCATTCGTGCCTTCACGCGTGGCTTTCCCTGCGACCCTTTCTTTTTTTAAGACGTGTTTGCCCGATGTTTGTAACTTTCTACGCGAACACCTGCTCGCGTGAACCCACTGATGGCTCGGCGCGCAGGGTATCTGGATCGAGCCGGTCTAATCTTATTCCGACGTGCTCGAGGAGTTCAAAACCGAGATGCCTTGCGTCTTCCTGTTGCACCATTCTTCGCCACTCTCCACCATTCATCACCATTCTTGTCACCCACGCCGGCATGAAATGCACTGATGGCAGGGAATCTGGATCAAGCCGGTCTACTCGTACTCCGACGTGCCCGAGGAGTCAAAGACGGAGATGCCGGGCGTCTTCCCCTTCTCGCGCGGCCCCTATGCCACCATGTACACGCAGCGCCCCTGGACCATTCGCCAATACGCCGGCTTCAGGTAACCACTCTTCGCCCTTCTCGCCTGCCCATTCTTCGCAACCTGCGCGATGCTCGCCTGCGGCAGGCGCTGCCCTAGACGCTGCCCTCAATGCTGCGCGCCACGCTCTCAATGTGTTCTCGTCGCGCGCTCTCGTCACTCGCTCTCCGTAAGCGCTCTCGCTCTTGCGCTTCCAGTCGTCGACTGATTGTTCCATTCCCGCCTCACCACTCACGCCACGCCCACGCATCCCTTGTCTCCAACTGCATTTCCCTTTTCCGCCTTCTCCCCTCCCCCCTTCCCCCCTCCCCCCTTTCCCCTTCCCCCCCCCCGCTCTCCCTTCCTTCGCGCCCCCCCAGTACGGCGGAGGAGTCGAACGCGTTCTACCGGCGGAATCTGGCGGCGGGGCAGAAGGGGCTGTCCGTGGCCTTCGACCTCGCCACGCACCGCGGGTGAGCGGGGGGGGTGACCCTTGAGACCTTTGTAGCGTTTTCAGTCTCTTGAATTTGCTGGATCTTTTTAAGTCTTTCGAGCCTTTAAATTGACTCAGGAGTCACCTCGCGGGGCAGAAGGGCCTGCCTAGTTGATCTCAAGGACCATCAGCGGGAAGCACCAGATCGTAGGTCCTGCCTCAATCTCCCCTCCTCGCATCCATCCTCCTCCCTCCCATCCCTACGCCCCCCGTCCCATTCCTCCCCCTCCCGCCCCATTCCTCCCCCTCCCGCCCCATTCCGGCCCCTCCCGCCCCATTCCTCCCCCTCCCGCCCCATTCCTGTCCTGTCCCTCTCCTCTCCTTATTCCCCCCAACAGTTATGACTCGGACCACCCCCGCGTGGTGGGAGACGTGGGCATGGCGGGCGTGGCGGTGGACAGCGTGGAGGACATGAAGGTGCTCTTCGCTCCTCCCTCAATCCCCATGGGCCCCCCATTGACCCCTCCCATTCCCCCTTTCCTTCAGTTATGATTCCGATCACCCCCGAGTGGTGGGCGACGTGGGCATGGCGGGCGTGGCGGTGGACAGCGTGGAGGACATGAAGGTGCTCTTCAGCGGCATCCCTCATGCACCATGAATGAACCCATTTCCTCTCACCCATTTCCCCCCAACAGTTATGACTCCGATCACCCGCGCGTGGTGGGCGACGTGGGCATGGCGGGAGTGGCAGTGGACAGCGTGGAGGACATGAAGGTGCTCTTCAGCGGCATCCCGCTCGACAAGATGTCCGTCTCCATGACCATGAACGGCGCCGTGCTGCCGGTTATGGCGTTTTTCATCGTCGCCGCGCAGGAGCAAGGTGAGTGTTCTGTGCGATTTCTTGTGGGAAGAGTGGACTGAAGGGAAGGTGCTCTTCGAGGGCCTCCATCCCGCTGGACAAGACGTCCGTCTCCATGACCATGAACGGCGCCGTGCTGCCGGTCATGGCCTTCTTCATCGTCGCTGCACAGGAGCAGGGTGAGTGGGGGGAGAGGAGGAATGGGAAGGGGTGGTTCAGTGCAATACTCGACTCAGCTGAGTGCTCAGATGCCTGGAATTGTTAGCCTTAGAACTCGAGCCTGTAGCACATTCAGCTTCCAGATGCCCCAAAACACCCACCACCACCCTTCCCCCTCCTCCCCATCCCCTCCATCCCCCCCTCATGGTGCGCAACGTACAACTCTCAGCCCCTAAGAACACTTTTCCCCCATTGCTTCCCCCTCCCACCCACATTTCCCCTCCAACTCTCCCCCCTCACCCCTCGTCTCTCTATCCATGCGCAGGCGTGGACCTAGCCAAGGTGTCGGGCACCATTCAGAACGACATTCTGAAGGAGTACACACGTACATCTACGCGCCCGCTCCTCATACTCCCCTCTCCCTCTACTCCCCACTCCATCCCTACTCGTCATCCTGTGTATCCACAGGAGTGGACTTGGCCAAAGTCTCCGGAACCATTCAGAACGACATCCTGAAGGAGTACATGGTGCGCAACACGTACATCTACGCGCCCGCCTCATGCCACCCTCTCCCCCCTGCCACCTCACATCTCTCCTCTCCCCTTGCGTGCAGGTGTGGATCTAGCCAAAGTCTCTGGAACGATTCAAAACGACATCTTGAAGGAGTACATGGTGCGCAACACGTACATCTACCCGCCCGCGCCGTCCATGCGCGTGGTGGGCGATATCATGGCGTACACGTCACGCCACATGCCCAAGTTCAACTCCATCTCCATCTCGGGCTACCACATGCAGGAGGCGGGCGCTGACTGGTGAGACTCCTTAGGTCTTCTGATGTGCACTCCTCACTGATAGGGTCAGGGTAGAGTGCTTGTTTATTCACAGCACGTCACGCCACATGCCCAAGTTCAACTCCATCTCCATCTCCGGCTACCACATGCAGGAGGCCGGTGCTGACTGGTGAGTTGAGGAGGGTTGGTGAATGGTGAGGCCCCTTGAACCACACTTGTGCTGCACTGCCCACTGAATACTCTCGCAGCAGCACAGTAGAGGTAGCGTCCACGATTGCTGATGGCTTCAAGCACATTCGGTGTTGTGCTGTACTGCCCCCCAAGGAACACAGTAGAGGTGCTGTCCTTTTGAGTCGACTCAAAAACTATCGAAGCAGCACAGTAGAGGAGACTTTTGAGTCGACTCAAAAACTATCGAAGCAGCACAGTAGAGGAGACTTTTGAGTCGACTCAAAAACTCAAACGCACAGTAGAGGTAGCGTCCACGATTGCTGACGGCTTCAAGTACATTCGGTGCTGTACTGCCCCCCGTTCCTCCTCCCTTCTCCCCCCTGTCCTACCAGCGCTGTTGAGATGGCATTCACCATAGCTGACGGGCTGGAGTACATTCGGTGCGGCATGGAGGCGGGCGTGTGCGTGCAATGTGTGCTGTATGCTGTTTGCTGTGCCCTCACCTACTTCCTCCCCTCCTCACACCCTGCAGCGCCGTTGAGATGGCATTCACCATAGCTGACGGGCTGGAGTACATTCGGTGCGGCATGGAGGCGGGCGTGGGCGTGGACGAGCTGGCTCCGCGCTTCTCCTTCTTCTGGGCCATCGGCATGAACTTCTACATGGAGGTACGGGCCTGTACATGGGGGTAGGGACTTGTACATGTAGGTAGGGGGCTTGCGCGTGGAGGCAAGCCCTTACACATGGAGGAACGAGCTGGCTCCGCGCTTCTCCTTCTTCTGGGCCATCGGCATGAACTTCTACATGGAGGTGCGTGGCGGCGGGCATGGAGGTACGGAATCTGCAGGCAAGCAACAGGATTCAAGCTCCAGATAGCTGCTCCATGCTGCATGGAGGAGCAAACATCTGCCTACGCTGCCTGTGTGCCTTCCCCGCGCCCCTCCCTTTTCCCGCGCACCCCTCTTCTCTACTGCACTGCGCCCATCTCTCCTCCCGTGGCCCCACCTCTCTTCCCCCTGCGCCCATGTGCAGATCGCCAAGATGCGGGCAGCACGCCGCGTATGGGCCAAGCTGGTCAAGGTGAGATGGGCACTGCACTGCACTGCACTGCACTGCACTGCACTGCACTGCACTGCACTGCACTGCACTGCACTGCACTGCACTGCACTGCACTGCACTGCACTGCACTGCACTGCACTGCACTGCACTGCACTGCACTCTTATCGCAACCCTGCTCTTCCCTCACCACTGCACTCGTGCCTCTCATCCTCCCTGCCTTCCACTGCCTGTCGATGCAACTTGTTTACGCTCACAGTTCGTTCTCTCCCACTGCCTGCCACTCACTTCTCCTTCCCTCTCGCCCCCATCTCTCTCCCCACCCTGTTGCTCCCCCACGTGTGGCCCCTCTGTTGCCGTACAGGAGAAGTTCAACCCTAAGAACTCCAAGTCGCTCGTCCTCAGGACGCACAGCCAGGTGGGTACGGCGCGGGCATGTGGGTGTGGCGGGGGCATGTTAGTGGGGCGGGTGCAGGGGAATGGCGTAGGCAGGTGGACGTGGCATGCAGGCAGCGAAGTTTGGAGCCGTCATGTGAACCTTAGGTCAGTCTTGCCCACCACACCTAGGCTCCCCTTGCAACGCACAGCTCACAAACCCACCCTCACCCCCTTCGTCCTTCACCCCTTCGCTCCCCTCACCTCTCCCCCACCACCCCATCCTCTCCCTCCGTCCAGTCATTCTCATACTCCCTAACCAAGCGGTACCTACCCATACAATTAGACGCCTCAAACACTCGCACCAACCCCTTCCCCTCCCCTTTCTCTCTCCTCCCCCCGTCCAGACGTCCGGTTACTCACTGACCGAGCAGGACCCATACAACAACGTGATCCGCACGACAGTGGAGGCCATGGCGGCAGTGCTGGGCGGCACGCAGTCCCTCCACACCAACGCCTTCGACGAGGCCCTCGCGCTGCCCTCCAAGATGAGCGCACGCATCGCCACTCAGAGGCACCTTCACAATCCATCCAATCACACCTCCCTTTCCCCCACACACTCTGTCCCCACTACCGTTCCAAAAAAACCCCTTTTTTCCCAATCCAGACGTCTGGCTACTCTTTGACCGAGCAGGATCCATACAACAATGTCATTCGCACCACCGTAGAAGCCATGGCAGCCGTCCTGGGCGGCACCCAATCCCTCCACACCAACGCCTTTGACGAGGCCCTGGCGCTGCCCTCCGAGATGAGCGCACGCATCCCCACTCAGAGGCACCTTCACAATCCATCCAATCACACCTCCCTTTCCCCCACACACTCTGTCCCCACTACTGTCCCCCACCCTCCCTCCCCCCTGTCTTCTCAGACGTCCGGTTACTCACTGACCGAGCAGGACCCATACAACAACGTGATCCGCACCACAGTGGAGGCCATGGCGGCAGTGCTGGGCGGCACGCAGTCCCTCCACACCAACGCCTTCGACGAGGCGCTGGCTCTGCCCTCCGAGATGAGCGCGCGCATCGCCCGCAACACGCAGCTCATCCTGCAGGAGGAGACGGGCATCACCCACGTGGCGGACCCCTGGGGCGGGTCGTACATGATGGAGGCGCTGACTGCGGAGCTTGAGAAAAAGGCGCTGGCGATTATTGAGGAGGTGGAGGCGGCGGGGGGGATGACCAAGGCTATCATGTCTGGCATGCCCAAACGCAAGATTGAGGAGTGCTCCGCTCGCAAACAGGTGCGTGTGTGTGGGCTCAATAGGGGAGAGAAAGTGTGGGGCAGAGGAGGGGTGGTTGGGAAAGGAAGTGAGGAAGGCAATGTAGAAAGGGAAAAGGGAGCCATGAACGTGAAGGTCAGGAGTGTCCATCTCAGTCCCTCTCCGACACCACCACCCCGCCCCTCTCATTTCCCGCTGCTCCCTCTTTCTCCTCCCCCATCAGGCACGTGTGGACAGCGGGTTGGACGTGGTGGTGGGGGTGAACAAGTACCGCCTCAAGGAGGAGGAGGGCGTGGAGCTGCGGCACACACTCACAGAACTCTGAGATATTTGAACGGTCACCTTGTCTTGCCACTCACATCTCACCTTTCTCTCTCCTTCCGTTCCCCATCAGGCGCGAGTGGACAGTGGATTGGACGTGGTGGTGGGGGTGAACAAGTATCGCCTCAAGGAGGAGGAGGGCGTGGAGCTCAGGCACATTGACAACGCCGCTGTGCTCAAGAGTCAGGTCAAACGCCTGGGGGAGCTTCGTGCGTCCCGCGACAATGAAAAGTAAGACGCTGCTGTCTTCCTCCTTCCCACTCTTCCCTTTCTCTCTGTCTAACTTGGAGCCTTAAGTTAGACAAGGCGTGGAGCTCAGGCACATTGACAACGCCGCTGTGCTCAAGAGCCAGGTCAAACGCCTGGGGGAACTCCGTGCATCTCGAGACAACAAAAATTAAGACAACTCCTCCCCCATGTGAGCCCTCTCTCTCACTCGCTCATCTGGAGCTGAGGCACATCGACAACGCTGCTGTGCTCAAGAGCCAGGTCAAGCGCTTGGGGGAACTTGGTGCATCCTGGGACAACGAAAAGTGAGGCACACCCTCCCTCGCATGGACCCGAAATCTCTATCTCTCTCGCTCATTTGGAGCTGAGGCACATTGACAACGCCGCTGCGCTCAAGGGCCAGGTCAAACGCTTGGGGGAGCTCAGGGCCTCTCGTTCCCTTTCCCCCCGTCCTTGCACTGCTTTCTGACTGCTCCGTGCTTTCCCCTCCCTCTCTCGCTCTGGCTCGCGCTCTGTCTCCCACCCATGGCGAACCTATCCTTCCGTCTCTCTTTCTCACTCGCGCTCGTGTTCTCTCCAACCCCACGCACCCACTTACCCCATCCCCTCCGCCATGTGAACACCAGGGTACAGGCAGCACTGGCGACACTAACAGCGGCGGCGAGGGGTGCAACCTGCTGACCCTCGCAGTGGAGGCGGTGCGAGTGCCCCTTGCCCTTGCTCACTACTCCCACTGCTATTACCCATCTCCCCCATGCACAATTATCCCCTCTCCCCCGCACAGGGTGAAGGCAGCACTGGCAGCGCTAACAGCAGCGGCAAAGAGCACGGAGCGCGGAGAGGGGTGCAACCTGCTGACTCTTGCAGTGGAGGCAGCGCGAGTGCGGTGCACGCTGGGGGAGATCAGTGATGCTCTCGAGGCAGAGTGGGGCCGCCATGTGGCTGACTCCACCATCTCTACTGGAGCCTACAGGTGCGCGCGTCGTGTGTGGTCGCTGCGCGCGCTGCATGTGTCAGGTCACCTCTAGGTGTGTAGCTATCATCCCCTGCACCCAAGTGCGGTGCGCACTAGGGGAGATCAGCGATGCTCTCGAGGCCGAGTGGGGCCACCACGTGGCAGACTCCACCATCTCCACTGGCGCATACCGGTGCGTAGCGCATGTGTGAGGTTGGCTCTAGCCTCGAGGTGCTTAGCTCTCATTGCTCGCAGTGGAGGCGGCGCGAGTGCGGTGCATACTGGGAGAGATCAGTGACGCACTCGAGGCAGAGTGGGGCCGCGGCTGATTCCACTATCTCCACCGGCGCATACCGGTACGTACCATATTTTTGCTTCCTCAGCAGCAGTGTAGTTTGCGGAGCTCTCATGGCCCGCACTGCGAGTGTGGTGCACGCTGGGGGAGATTAGCGACACCCTCGAGGCCGTGTGGGGCCGCCACTCCACCTCCTCACCTACCCCTAACTGGCTCACTTTTGAGGCGCCTCAAAAGTCCTTACCTACCCCTAACTGGCTCACTTCGCCTTCTTGGTGCTCCTCCTCCCTTCGTCTACCCCGGAGCAGGGGCGAGTATCGGCGCGCCCAGGCGGGCAGGAGACAGAGGAGCTAGCAGCAGTCAAAGCAGCCGTGGAGGCCTTCAGAAAGAGCACCAGCCGACGTCCTTCGGCGCTCGTCACTTTGACTCGCTTTGCTGCTTGCTGCTCCTCCTCCCCGCCTGATCTTTACTTTATCAGGGGCGAGTATGGGCGTGCAGCTGGCGGGTGGGAAACCAAGGAACTTGCAGCAGTCAAAGCAGCTGTGGAGGCGATCGAAAAGAGCACCGGGCGCTGCCCGTGCGTGCTGATCCCCAAGATGGGCCTAGACGACAATTTTAAGGGCTCCTTCTCAGTTAGTCTCACTTTGCTTCTTGCTGCTCCTCCCCACCCCCGCCTAATCTTTACTTGAGCAGGGGCGAGTACGGGCGCGCTACAGGAGGCCAGGAAACCGACGAGCTAGCCGCAGTGAAAGCAGCCGTAGAAGCCTTTGAGAAGAGCACCGGGCGGCGTCCCCGTGTCCTCATCGCCAAGATGGGGCAGGACGGGCACGACCGCGGCGCTAAGGTGGTGGCAACTGGCCTGGCAGACCTGGGATTCGACATCGACATCGGGCCTCTCTTCCAAACCCCTGCAGAGGTCGCACGGCACGCCATGGAGGCCGATGTGCACGTGGTGGGTGTGAGCTCGCAGGCTGCTGGGCACAAGACGCTGGTGCCTCAACTGCTGGATGAGTTGAAGGCGCAGGGGATGGAGAGGGTGCTGGTGATTGCGGGGGGGGTCATTCCCCCCGATGACTATCAGTTCCTGTTTGACAAGGGCGTGGGGGCTATCTTTGGCCCGGGCACGCGCATTCCCAAGTGTGCGCTGGAGATTCTGGAGAAGATCAAGCCGGAGTCTTAGAGTGGTGCTGCAGCTGCATGGACGGATGCAAGGGGTTGAGGGTTGCTGTTGGGGCGTTTAAATGTCCCCATACGTGTGCTTTTGAGGTTCTGGATGCTTATAGTGCTTCTGTAACTGCATGTACTGATGCGGGGAGGGGGAGTGGGTGGTGGTGGGTTTGTGATGGGGAGGGGGGGAGAAGGGTGGGCGAGGGAGCATTGTGTTGTGAGACTGACAACGAGCAGGTGTAGTAGAAAGGAATGGGCGAGTGTTTCGCATGTTATATTTCTAGACTGAATTCTTTCGCATGGACTTGCCGGTCATGCTGCTTGCTTTCATTGCAATATGATAACCGAATATATTCACTGTACCTATGAACCATTGCCTGCCTACAGTCAAGTAGTAGAGCATTCCCGAATGAACACTACAATAGTACAACTGGTTTTGAGCTCATTTGTATGCACACCTCTCCATGCTTTTACACAGGCAAGAATGTGTGCAGTAACAACTGAATATACTGTTGGTATCCGACAAAGCATTTTCACCAAGGGCCAGCAGACCAAGCTACAGATTGTGCATAAGGTGCAAACTACAACACACACAGAGCAAGCTAGTGCACATAAACATGGCCCTTCTAGTGGAAACATAGCAGCCCATTCGAAAAGCGATGGCGAAAACCGTAAATGCCCCATCTGAAACAGAAAGTTATTTTTGGGAGGTGGACTGGTTGTGCTGCTTTTGAGGCACCGAGAGTGCCCCGTCTGCAACTGGGATGCTCAGAACTAAGGCGTGTTGGATGATTGGTGCACGGGTAGTGGTGGCTACTGCTGCAAGGCTATAGCAGCGACGTTGGAGGCGAGAGCATAGGTGCGCGAGGTGAGACCTCTCGACCGCTCTATTAGGTTCTCGTACCTGCAGGGAAGGGGCACGGGAGGGGGCGAGGATGGGAGGAGGGGGTGGGGGGTCCCGGACAAATTGGAGAAAAGAAGGTGGCGAGAGAATGACAGGGCGACACACACACACACAGACATACGTGTGCCCATGCTCCTGTCCAACCCGTGCCCATGCCCATGCCCATGCCCATGCCCATGCCCGTGCCCATGCCCATGCCCATGCCCATGCCCATGCCCATGCCCGTGCCCATGCCCATGCCCATGCCCATGCCCATGCCCATGCCCGTGCCCATGCCCATGCCCATGCCCACGCCCACACCCACTCCCAGCAACGTACACGTTGGGTTGTGCAGTGGTCATGACAAGCATGCCAGCTTCAGACTCCATGGTGGCGTCCAGCTTGGCCGTGCGGATGAGATTCAACTCACAAGTTACTAACATCCCCATGCCTATGCCCATGCATGCACACACATGTGCCCACAGCCGTCCAGCAACGTACACATTGGGTTGAGCAGTGGCCATGACGAGTGTGCCGGCCTCCGAGTCGATGGTAGCGTCCAGCTTGGCCGTGCGGATGAGATTCGCCATCCACCGCTCCGCCGCGTCTGTCGCCATGCTCAGCTTCTCCGCCACCACCCTGGGAGGCGGAAAGGTGGAGTGCGGTGAGGAGTAGTGTGGTGCGGTGGGGTGGGTTGGTTGGCATGAGGTGGGGTGAGGGCACACACACCACCTCGTCCCTCCGAGGTGCTAACTGAGGTGCAACGTGGTGAGGTGCGGTAAGATGCAGTGCAGTGAGTTGCAGTGCAGCGCAGTGCGGTGGAAGTGCAGTGAGGGCCTCACTTGATGTCGATGCGGCGGTGGATGCTGCAGTAGTTTTCAAACATGAGCAGGCGGGCGCTGTCAATCACCTCGTCCCTCAGAGGCACTAGCTTGAGGTGCAGTGAGGTGCGGTGAGGTGCGATGAGCTGCAGCGCAGTGCGGCGAGGTGAGGTGAGGTAGAGTGCGGTGACGCTCACTTGATGTCGATGCGGCGGTGGATGCTGCAGTAGTTTTCAAACATGAGCAGGCGGGCGCTGTCAATCACCTCGTCCCTCAGAGGCACCGCCACATACCCCCCCTCTGCCACCCGCTTTCCCAGAAAGAAATCATTCGCCAGTAGCTGCCAGCGGGGGGGGAAGGGGATGTGGGGAATGGGGGGAAAAGGGGGATGGGAAAAGGGGGAATGAGAAAATGGGGTCAAAAAGGAGGAGGGGGGGCAGGGGAAGCGGCAGGAGAAAAGAACTGGAAAGAAGGCAAATTGGAAGGAGGAAGAAGGTGGCGGTAGTGGTTATCAGGTCAACTGCAGCTAAACTTGCCACTGGATCCTTACGAAGCCCTTTGTGGCGTCTCAAAAGAACGGTCCTCACCTCTTCACACTCCTTGAGTCGGCTCTGTGCCTCGTCGAAATCAAGGCCAACAACAAGAGCCAGAAGAATTCGGATGGGTCGCTGTAGGCGTGCCTCTCCGCCTCCACCACCTACCTTGACCAGAATGCAGTGCTCTCACTGCTTTGTACTCCTCACTCACCTCTTCGCACTCTTGCAGCCGGCTCTGAGCCTCGTCGAAACCCAAATCAACAATCAGAGCAAGCAGGAATTGCGTGAGCGGGTTGCTGTATGCGTGCTGCTTTGCACTGCTTGATGGCCCCACCTCTCCGCACCCTCTCCCTCACTCACCTCTTCGCACTCCTTGAGTCGGCTCTGAGCCTCGTCGAAATCAAGGTCCACAACAAGAGCCAGCAGGAATTGCGTGAGCGGGTCGCTGTAGGCATGCCGCTCCGCCTCCACCACCCGCGCCACCTCCTTCACAGCGCTGCGCCTGCGCTTGCATGTCAGCACGGCTGCCACCAGGTAGCGCAGCAGGTGCTGTGCGTTCGTCTGAATGGCACTCAGATATCTGGTGGTGGGGGAGTAGGGGGGATTGGAGCGAGGGGTGGAGGGGAAAAAGGAAGGGGCTTGCATGTGAGCACCGCTGCAACCAGATAGCGCAGCAGGTGCTGCGCGTTTGTCTGAATCGCGCTCACGCACCTGGCAGAAGGGGAGTAGGGGGGATTGGGGCGAGGGGCGTAAAGGAAAAGGGGAGGGGGCTTGCATGTGCGCACAGCCGCCACGAGGTTGAAGCGGCAGTTCTCCAAGTGCAACGAGGGAAAGGGAGAGAGAGGATGCAAGGGGAGCAGAGCAGAGCAGGGGGCGGGCTAGAGCAGGCTGAGGGGGCGCCTGGTCACGTACTTGTCCTGGAGAAAGAGGTCGACGAGGTTGGAGCGGCCGTTCTCCGAGTGCAGCATGGCGAAGAGCGCAGAGCAGGGCGAGGAAGAGGAGCAGAGCAGGCAGGGAGGAGCATGGGCGCACTTGCCTTACAGGAGGGTGCAAATGGGAGTCAACCTACTTGTCCGTGAGGAAGAGGTCGACGAGGTTGGAGCGGCCGTTCTCCGAGTGCAGCATGGCGAAGAGCGCCCAGTGCAGCAGCCACGTGCGCTGCTGTAGCACTGCTAAGGGGGACGCGAAGGTCTGTGAATGTGGGGGGACGGGGGGGATGCGGAAGGGGGAACGGGAGGGGAATTGGGGGAGGAGGGGGGTTCAAGAGGGGAACAGAGGGAAGGGCAACAGAGGGTGTGTGCGGAGGCAGGAGGCAGGTGTTGGGCATCAGACATGAGGCATGAGTCCCTCCCCGCGCCTCCCTCCCATCCCCTTCTCCCCTTTCCCCCCTTCCCCTCTTCCCCCGTTCCCCCAACCTCCCTCACCCCAACTCCTCCGTTTCCCCCCCTTCCGCACTCTTCTTGCACCTGAGAATCAATCATCTCTTTCACGCGCGCGAGCTCCTCCCCCGCGGCGTCCCAGTTCTGCATCAGCAGCTCCGCCGCCAGCTTGCCCCACGACGCGGAGAGCGCGCGCTGCGGGGAGGAGCAGAGGAGGCGGTACTGGTAGAGGAAGTCCGCCGCGCCGCTGTAGTTGCCGCACTCGAACTGGAACTTGGCGTACCAATACAGCGCCTCCACACCCTCCGCGCCGATCTGCGCGCGAGGAGAGGGGCGGGGAATAGGGGGTAGGGGAGCGGGGGGGCTGGCATGGGGGAAGGGCGCCGCTGTAGTTGCCGCACTCGAACTGGAACTTGGCGTACCAATACAGCGCCTCCACACCCTCCGCGCCGATCTGCGCGCGAGGAGAGGGGCGGGGAATAGGGGGTAGGGGAGCGGGGGGGCTGGCATGGGGGAAGGGCGCCGCTGTAGTTGCCGCACTCGAACTGGAGGCGTACCAATACAGCGCCTCCACACCCTCCGCGCCGATCTGCGCGCCAAGGGCGGGGAAGGGGGGGGGAGAAAGAGGGGAAGGGGGGGAAGAAGGGGAGGGAAAGGCGGGTATGGAAGCCGGGGTTTGGCAGGGGGGAGGGCCGCCGCTGTAGTTGCCGCACTCGAACTGGAACTTGGCGTACCAATAGAGCGCCTCCACACCCTCCGGGCCGATCTGGGGGAAAGAGGGGGAAAAGGGGGTAGGTGGGTCCGGGGATTGGCAGGGAGGAGGGGCGCCGCTGTAGTTGCCGCACTCGAACTGGAACTTGGCGTACCAATACAGCGCCTCCACGCCCTCCGCGCCGATCTGCGCGCGCGCGTGCGGGGGGAGAGGGAGGGTTGGGACAAGGGGGCGGGGGGAATGGGGGTGGGGATGAGGGCGAGTGGGCGCGTACCAGTACAGCGCCCCCACGCCCTCCGCGCCGATCTGCGCGCGCGCGAGGGGTGAATGGGGCCACGCGGGCGGGGGCGGGGGGCCGGGGGGGACGGTGAGGCAGCGAGAACTAAAACAAGAGACGCGGCGAGAGAGGGCAGCGACGGCAGGTCAGTCTGACTCAGCGTAGAACTGAGCAAGTATCTGTTGCTCTCACCTGGTATTTCTCCTGGAGCATGAGCAGGTTGTACGCTTTATCGGAACGCAGCTCCTGCACCGTCGCGGGGTTCTGCAGGAACGCGACAAGCGGCGCCGCCGCCTCCTCGAGCGACTTGAGCCGGCTGACCACCTCGCCGCGCCGCTCCACCATGGCTGCTCGCGCCGCCGTCGCCGCCACGCCACCAGCACGTAGGTTCCGACGCATCCGCGT